GAGAGAGAGCGAGAGAGAGAGAGAGGGAGAGGGAAGTCGATAGTAGATAGGCGGCACTATTATGTGCATATGGCAATGCTTTAGAATTTTGTTGAGTTTCATGATAACCGGTTTTTGGACTGCCAACAAAAACAACAACAGCAACAAGTTGTGACTCCCATGAGAGGCGGCTGCTGCTGCAACTTGGGTTCATTGTTTACCCAGACATAGCTGTTATAGCTGTTTGTTGTTCTTCTGGTAGTTGTTATTATAATAGTCGCTGTTCCTGTTGTTGTTGTTGTTGTTGTCGATATGTGCTTTACTCTTTGTTTGCTACCTACTTACTTGGCAGGCTATCTGCTTGGTTTCAGTCTTGGTTTAATTACACTTTTTTCAAACGAAACAACTTCACAGATAGCGGAAGTCGGACAATAGCCGCAAGAGACCGGCCAAAAAAAACGGCTCTGGCTAGCTGAGAAGGTTCCACAAACATGTGTCACATGCGAGTGCGAGCGTGTACAAAGCCCAGTTATTTGGCTATAAATTCTGTTTCGCTGGAAATCCTCAAATATGACTTTTTTTATGGCCTCTTCTACGCATGTTGTTGTTATATATTATAAAAAAAAAGAGTTTTAGTTTCTTAAAATATGCTCTGCGTTCTAGTTTGCGAGCGCCCACTGTACTCAAAATCAATGAGGATTGTTTGTTTTTCTTTTTTCTTTACTGCGTCTTTTGGCTTGATGTTAATTTCAAGGATTCGAACAACTGCGAAATTCATGCCTAGGACGCAGTTTGAATAACTTAAGAATCGCACACATAGCTTTTATAGCAGACCTTATAAAATACATGCATGCGGTAACGAATAAATAAAAAAACGTCTTACCTCAATATCAAGCTAGAGCACCAAGTGGCATTGAGGCTGACACTTATGTTGTTGTTGTTGTTGTTGCTGTTGTAGTTTTATTCAATGTTGCGTTCAATCAAAACACAAATCACACTGCAATTGTAAAAAATTGTATTTATTATGGACATGAGCGCACACTTTCACGGCACAAACAATTAATTGACTAGATTTTTTTCTCTTCTGTTAAATGCATTTCCCCTTTCCTTGTTGCTGCCATCTCCTGCGTTCGAGCGATCAACAGCTGGCGGCCAGTCGCCAGAGCTGGTTTGCACACTTTTTTTTATTTTATTATTTCTTTTTTTTTTTTTTGCACACTGTGGCGAGACGAACATAAAAAACTTTCGCTCAAAACGGATGCAGCAGGCGGCTCGAATAGGATTTGGCTTAAGAGCGCAAGCGGGTTGGGTTAGACTGCTAACTGGTTTCTTGTAACAGGAATTTGGACAGTGTTGCAGATTAGTGTTGCAAATGGCAGGCAATTCATTAATTCGCGCAAAGAGCACAAAACAATTGTATCCGTATTTTTATGAATTTCCTCTTTTTTCTAAACACATATTTATTTCACCTGACTCATTTGCACATTAGTTTGTTGTCGGTGTACTAATTTATTTGTTGCCCTACAAAAAAATTATATTTTCGTATTTCTTAGTTGTTTTTTTTTTTGCACTTTCTTTTGGCGCTTGTGTATTTTTACTGCTATGCCTGCAAGAAGTGATCTTTTTCTCTCTCCTCTCTCTCTCTTTTTCGCCTATTTATAACAACTCACGCATACCGTACACACACACACAAATGCCGACACTCACACAACTTAAGCCGAAAGCAGCCAAACGTAGCCAACAACAACAAAATACACAGGTGAAAATTAGTGCAGCAATTTTGTGGTTGTCTTAACTACTGTTGTTGTTGTTGTTGTTTTCAGTTTGCTGATATAGCTGTATTTTTGCATGCGTACCACTAAAATATTAATTAAACAGCAAACGTCGATAAATTAAATGCAAACACGCACAAACCAAATACTAAATAGTTCACTTCGTTAAGTTACACTTTTCAAGTAGCGTCGAGTCCTACGCATAAGTTTATACTTTTAATTATTTGGATCACTTTCTTGTTATTTATTTATGTTTTAGACATACATTCATATAATAACATATAATTTTTCAAATTTATTCTGTCACTTTCGCGCGCGATACGGCCTACGACGCTTAAACTTCGGCGGTAAAACAACAACTAGCGCTAGCATTGGTTCTTTCGATTTATCTCTGAAAAATGTTAGAAAACAAAACAGCGAGCGAACTGAGTAATGTGTTCTCCGGGCCACTGTTATGATTATCTCTGGTGTTATACTCAAATTGGCAATGTTAAAGTGATCTGTTATTTTTAACATGATCTCCTCTAGTCTTAAGCCTGGATTAGTTATATTATGGTAAATTAGTTTGAATTTAACTTTATCTATTGCATTTGAATGAGAATAGTGAAATTTTATCATTGTCTTAATTCCTATTAAAGCAATATTTATGCCTGCAATTATTATTTGATAACTGTTATTAACAGATTAGGTTTCTGTTATTGCTTACCTGTTTGGCGCAATTCAAATTTCAACCAAAAGAAAATGGAAGAAAAAAAAAAGGAATTTAAATTAGTTTCAATTATTTTTATTTATTTTTAAGAAATAGAAATGAATGGACAATACAATTAAGTTGAAATTGCAAACGATGACAACTTAAACAACTATTTTGGCAACTAAATGGACAATGATTATTGAAATTTGCTAAAAACGTACACAATTAAAAATAAACTAAACTAAACGATAAGAAAGGCCTTGGTAATATACGGTGGGCTTACATTGCAGTTTCGACTCATCTTAACTCTGTTGAGCGAAGGATTATTGCATTACAATTTTGTCTACAAAACGGGAATATTAATCAACTTATTTGTTGTTGTTCAAAAATCGTCAAGAACGTGTAGAGGGCGTCGAGCAGCAAACCATGGAGACATCAAGTGAAGTGCATTCGTAGTTGCTGCCGCTAGGCAGCTCCTGGGAGCAGGCAAAATTGGACGTGCTGCTGGTTTCATTGAAGCCGCTATCCGTGCGATAAAAACCAATACGTGGCGCAGCGGCAAGGGGCTCAACACTGCTTTCAGCTTGTGGTGCCAGATGTTCTTCCACCTGTTGTTCGTCGAGCTGTTCCGCATCATCCAGCAGATTGGCACCAAAGGATTGCGACAGATTCTTGCGATTTGCGGAACGTCGTCGGCGATGTCCGCGTGGAGTATCCGAATTGGAGCTACAATTAAAGCTATGCGTCGATAGCTGTGACAATTGCATCCCATCTCCATCCTCATCCTCATCTGTCTCAAAGTCAGCCTCTGTATCCGCAGCAGCCGCTTCGTCATCATCTTGCTCGCCCAGCACCAGCTTTACCTCCTCCAGGATCGACGTGTTCGGCAATTGCCGCGCACTATTCACGCGCAAACGGCTCACACGCTGATTGATGCTGCTGTCTGTAGAATACTCCAATGCCATCGGCGATGAGCTGCGATCGGGCGTAAATTTGCACGCCGCTCGTCCAGTGCCCGTAAGCTCCGAGAGGGTCACGTGCTCGCTGCTGGTGCTGCTCTTTTGCAGGCGTCTGCTCAAATGTTCCGACGGTGCTATGGGCGAAGGCAGCTCAACCAGGTCGTGCAGCAGCTGTTTTCGCCTGCGTGAGCTACCTGGCCCATTGCCATCGTCCGGTGTGCCCGGCGGCAGGCCGCACAGATTGCGTATGGGCGACAGGCAACCAAAACTGCTGGAGCCCTCGCCAGTCGAGTCTGAGAGGCGACCGGCGAACATGGTCTGCTTGGCCTGCGGACTGGAGCCCACCATTTGTGCGTTCTGCTCGTCAGGTGGCAGCTGCTGCTGTTGCTGCTGCTGATCCATTTCACCCAGCACAATGATGTTTTGCAAATCGAACAGCTTGCGGCGCATGGAGCTGTTGAAGACGTCGCCACCGCTGCCAGATTTGTTTAGTTGCATGCCTGCCAAATGTGGCTGCAGGTAGGGACGCAGCGCTTCTTCAAGGGCTTTGGGCAGCACTGGCGGCAGCGTGAGTTCCGTCTGGACCTCACAGTTGCGTGAACGCGGTTTGGTTTTATTGGATATGGGGGTATTGTCATTGATTTCATTGATTATAATACGCTGCTTGCGTAGCGGACAGTCAACGGGACTGGGCACTATGTGGGATTCCTTGAAGAAAGCACTAATGGCCAGTTGTGCTTTGGATTCCTGTTCGGGATCCGGTGAGTCATGAAATTGCGTCTCATGTGGTTCCACATCAGCGGGCTTCAGCTGGGACACTTCCTCAATGTCCCATTCAAATTGCGTGGACGAGAGCTGCGGCGTGCCTGACCGACATTGAAAAAGCGAGGGACTACCAGAGATTTGGAGCATTAGCAGGGAGCAAGCTAAAAAATATAAAAAAAAAAAAAAAAAAAAAACTCACCTGGCAATTAGCGGTAAATGTAGACGCTCGGCCAAGGCGCCTTCGAATGGATTCCGCACCTTCTGCAGTCGTTTCGGGGGCGGTGTGCAGACTGTTGTGCACATTTGGGGACTGCTTTTCGATTTGTTCGGTTTGGCGCCATTCGACGGCGTTGCAGACGCCGCGGCCGTAAAATTGTTGCTGCTGATGCTGCTGCTACTGCGTCTGCCATTGGCCGTAACGCGGCATTTTAGCTCGTTTAGGCTGGCATAGTATCTCGTCTTGAGTGCTTGCGGCGTGCGCACCTCATCTGTGTACATTTTTTTACAAATATATTGAACAATTTTGGCAATAATTGATTGCAAATTTTACAAGTTTTATGCAGCGCTGCCTGATGCAGGCAGCTGTCAGTATATTTCAAATGCTGCAGTGTTGCGAGACGACCTGCAGCATTTATCGATAGCTCCAGAAGAAACGTTGTGTATTTAAATCGCAAAGCGCCAGAAAATAAATCAAACGGCACATTTTCTACATAATTAGCTGCATTTAAATATATACAGTCTGCCTATAATAGCTTATGCTTTTAATTATGGTTTTTCAACGTGCACAGGACTCGATAATCATTTTAAATACGCGTCAGTTATCGGAATTATCGGGTATCGACTCTTTCTTGTTTACACATTTATCCAATCTAACTCATTAAAAAATCCAACAATGGAAGAACTGTGTCGCGTTTGCATGGAAAACTCTGATATTTTGACGGATATATTTGCCCCTCTAATAAACTTACAGACAAAACGGGAACCTGAAATCAGTATGGCCGACATACTCAACGAACTAACAGGCTGCAATATGATTGTTAATTACAATAGTGAACTGCCCCAATATATTTGCACAAATTGCATGAAGGGAGCAAAAGCGGCATTGGATTTCAAACGCATGGTGGAAAGGAACAGTGAACGCTTTATGGAGCTACACAGCATGCCCGGAGATCAGAAGAGTAAAGTGAAACTGAAACAGGAAGAAGACGACCTCATTGCCATCTGCAATATGCTCAATGCAGAGGATTTGCAACTTATGGACAACCTGGAAGAGGAAACAAAAGAGTTGCATATTGAAGCGAATGCAACGCACCATTACAACACCCGACGGAAGAGAATAAACAGACACAGCGTATCGAGCATGAGCAGCGAGAGCTTCTTGACCGAAAGCGGCCAAGACTATGAGGACGAGAAGAAGAGTTCTCTTGCATGTCCCTACTGCCAAATTGTTCAAAGCAGCAAAGGCAACCTAAAGGCCCATCTGCGCACACACACCGGAGAGCGACCTTTTAAGTTTGCAGCGTGTCCGAAGTCCTGTGCAGAGGATTTACAACTTATGGACAACCTGGAAGAGGAAACGAAAGAATTGAATATTGAAGTGAATTCAAAGCATCATTACAACACCCGACAGAAGAGACTGAACAGATACAGTGTATCGAACATGAGCAGCGAGAGCTTCTTGACCGAAAGCGGCCAAGACTATGAGGACGAGAAGAAGAGTTCTCTTGCATGTCCCTACTGCCAAATTGTTCAGAGCAGCAAAGGCAACCTAAAGGCCCATCTGCGCACACACACTGGGGAACGTCCATTCCAGTGCCCCCACTGCCCAAGGACATTCACTCAAAAGCATAATATGACCGTGCACATACGCACGCACACCGGAGAGCGTCCTTTTAAGTGTGCAGCGTGTCCAAAGTCCTTTGCTCAGCTTGCGGGTTTAATTGCCCACAATCGCAGACGTCCATGGGATCACATATTGGGATCGAAACATGTAATTAAACAAAAACGTCTTAAAAAATATCGTCGCATGAAGGTGCATAACTAATGACCATATAATCTAATAAATCAAACATGACCTATCAAATAAAATATCAGCTTTATTCCATTTATTCTATATCAACCAGAATAGAGTCTGTGCTTACAGTTTTTGTAAATATTGCTATTCGCCCCGCGTGCAACCGATAACTATCGATATCATGACTAAAGCAAAACTATCGTCAACGCATTCATTTGATAAATGGGCGCAATTTTTGAATGCGCTATCTATTGTCTGAAGGCTCTCCTTTACTTTTCTACTCAACACATACTTAATAGCTCATACTATAAAATTAAGTATACTTTTTAATTATGCAAAAAATACATATGTATTAATTAGCTGTTGCCAACTGCAAACAAAATAATCTATGTGCAAATAATCTTCAACAAATCAATCAAAATCAATGTTCGACATTTGATAGCAATTTAATTGCGCTGATTAGTTTAGTTACTTTCTAAACGTTGGCGGATTATAAAATTCCCTTCGAATATTGCACTTTGAACCGCGAATAATTATTTCGAATTAAATTCCCTTTTTCTTTTTTTATGGGACTATGGGAACTAAATCTAGTCGTATCTCGGTTTAATCTCAAAAACTGCATTTCAAGCTCTAATTACACATTATTTAATAAAAACCACAGTCAAAGCTGTTAATTAAATAATAATAGCGTTAATGAAGCGTGCCATTAATGAATTCATTTTGAGTTTATTCAAATTCCCAAATCCCTTTAATCAACATTCTACACTAAGCCAAAAAGAGCTGCAAAACAAAAATTTTATATTTAAGAAAAAATTAAATTTATTAATAGTCGTGTATTTTATGTATTCATCATAACAATTTTTATATATAAGTGCATAATTATTTATCACAATTGTAACTAAGGAAATTTAGTCCGAAATTTGTTAACTAAGTTCTTTTGAGCGGAAATTACGTTTAATTTTTGTGTTAATGTATTTTTTGTTCTGAATTTTTTTGTATATTTAGTTAAAATAGATTAAAGTGCCTGTTTTTTGCCGTGTGCGATTAGATTTCCAAAATTGGTTGCGATTGAACAACAACAACAAAAATATATTGTATTTTAGCACGCTTTTTCTTAACGATTAAATTACATGATTAAATTAGCCAAAACAGTGCATAAATTAGCTAACCAAATTGCTATAAAAGCCAATTCGTGTGCCGCTGCTCGGCCAGATGCCGCCGGATCAGGCTCCAAGGTGCAAAGTTAGAGTATTAAAAAAAGTTTGTGCGAAAAAATAATTGGTTCATTTGGGCCTCAATCAATCAACATGTGCGGCATTTTGGCCATTTTCTCGCCGGACGGCGAATCGATCCAGACGCAGAGCCTGCACGGCAGCCGGCACAGCCTGCGGGAGCTGGCGTATCGGCAGAGCGGCAAGCAGCGACATCGCGGACCCGACGACACCGGCGTCCTGGTTATTCCCGAACAGGGCGTGGCTCTGGTGCACGAACGTCTGGCCGTGATTGGCGTGGAGACGGGACATCAGCCGCTGGAGTCGCGCGACGGCAACATCTCGCTGATAGCCAACGGCGAGATCTACAACTATGTGGAGCTGACCCGGCAGATTGGCAAGCGGCTGCCCGGCTATCAGCCGAAGAGCGACAGCAATGTGATCATCGAGCTGTACGAGCAGCACGGCGCAGAGCTGCTCCAGCACATCAGGGGCATGTTCAGCTTTGTGCTGTACGATCGCAGACGCCGCCAGCTGCTGGTGGCACGCGATCCCCTGGGCATAATTCCCCTCTACATGGGCCACGATCCGGCGGGCAACATTTGGTTCGCCTCGGAAATGAAGTGCCTGTTGGGCGTCTGCCAGCAGCTGCGCATCTTTCCGCCGGGTCATGTGGCGGCGGGCACGGTGCAGCAGCTGCAGCCGGTGCGCTATTACAAGCCCAGCTGGAGGCAGCTGACGCCCATGCGGCAGGTGCAGCTGCCGGAGCTGCGCGCTCAGCTGGAGCTGGCCGTGCGCACGCATCTGCAGTGCGATGTGCCCTTCGGTGCGCTGCTCTCGGGCGGCGTGGACTCCAGCCTAATCGCTGCGATTGCGGCCAGGATAATGAGGGAACGCGATGCCGGCCACAAGCTGCGCACCTTCTCCGTGGGCATGCACGGCTCGCCGGATTTCGAGCATGCGCGCCTGGTGGCCCAGCACATTGGCAGCCAGCACACGGAGATCGCGTTCAGCGTGGAGGACTGCCTGGACGGTGTGCGCGATCTGATCTATCATCTGGAGTCCTACGATGTGGCCACGGTGCGCTGCAGCCTGCCCATGTTCTATCTGGCCAGGCATGTGAAGAGCACCGGCATCAAGATGATACTCTCCGGCGAGGGCGCCGACGAGATCTTTGGCGGCTATTTGTACTTCCACAAGGCGCCCGACTACGAGCAGTTCCACGAGGAGATGGTCACGCGCTGTGAGCAGCTGCATGTCTCCGACATATTGCGCGCCAACAAGGTGACCATGTCCAAGGGCCTGGAGCTGCGTGTGCCCTTTCTGGACACCGGCCTGGTGGACCATGTGATGAGTATACGGCCGCAGGACAAGATACCAGGTCCACTAAACGAGTACTCGGGCCAGCGCAAGTGGCGCATGGAGAAGTTCGTGCTGCGCCAAGCCTTCGCCGGCGACTATCTGCCGGATGCCGTACTCTGGCGCCAGAAGGAGCAGTTCTCCGATGGCGTGGGCTATGCCCTCATCGATGCTCTGCCCGCGTTTGCGGCTCGCCATGTGAGCGATGCCCAGCTGCTGGCGGCGCCGGAACGCTTTCCCATCAATCCGCCTAAAACCAAGGAGGCTTTCTACTATCGCTGCATCTTTGAGGAGCAGTTTCCGGGCGAGGCGGCCGCCAGCACGGTGGAGAAGTGGGCGCCACGTCTGGACTGGGGCTGTCCAGAGGATCCGTCCGGACGAGCACAAACGGCACACGACCAGGCCTATGGAAAGTGTTAATGGTGGCAGGGAGAAGTATACCTTATGGGGTCAGTTGTGTCTCCTTCATGGGTACAGGGTATAAATATTATTAAACAAACAATTTAAAGAAATAGTTAATTTATAAAATGTTTATCAAATTTTACACCAATTAAGCATATTTAGCTTAATTTTAAAAGTTATTTGAACAAAAGTATTATATTTTAAAAGCTTATAATAAATTTGTTATCGCAAAACATTTTTATTCACCAAGTGTGAACAATGAACTTTCACACGCGGAAATTAATTGAACTTGAACCTGCCAAGATTCAATTGATTAGAGAATATGTGCACAATAGTAATAGCAATAAAAAATAATCAATAATTAATTGCAATGTGTTAAGCGCGCCAAACTTTTGAATTTTTATTCGCACGTGCGTCGAACAAATTAAGCGGGTCAGTAAGTCAATAAGATAGAAAGAGAGAGGTAGAGCAAAAGAGAACAAGTGCTAAAAATCAGTGAGCGCGAGTACGCTATCAAAAGAGAGCAACAGTTTCTGTTATATTTAATTGCACTTGGTATATAACAATAAAATGCATTGATTGCTTAAATCAGATCTACATTTGTATATCAGATTAATTGCTTAAATAAAACTGGCATATGGCCACAAGATAATAATATAATATATAAATAATTAATTGCAATGTGATTAAACAGCTACACTTTGAATTATTATCTGCACGTGCAACGAACAAATTGAACGGCAGCTGTTCAATTAAGCAGGTCAGTAAGTCAATATGAGAGAGAGGGAGAGTGAGGGCTACAAATGGGAGAGAACGAGCCAGTGAGCGAAAGCTTCTGTTATACGACATTTAGCATATAACAATATAATAGGTCAATTACTCAAATCAGAACTATTTCAAGTTTAATTGCCAAAATAAAACTGGCAAATGGCCACAATAAAAGAATGAGAAGCACACAAGTATCAGCGAGAAGATGAATAAGAAATGAAAACAAAAACGGAAAAACATGCGGCGGCAACTAGAAACTGCCTGACGCAACTCGGCGGCTAGCGCCAATCATGCGAAGCCGAAGCCGTTTTCAAGAGCGAGCGGCGGCGTCGTCTATAAAAGGCGGCCGCTGCCGCGTTGCCGTTAACAGTTGCTGTTTGGCCTCGCTGCGTGACGGTTGAGACAGTTATATTAGCGTAAAATTAACATAAGGAACAATGTGCGGTATATTTGCAATATTCTCCAGCGATGGAAAGCCCATTGAGGCGCAGTGCTGCCAGGGCAGCAAGCACAGCTTGCGGGAGTTGGCGTATCGGCAGAGCGGCAGGCAGCGGCATCGCGGACCCGACTCCACGGGCGTGGTGGTTATACCCGAGCAGGGCGTGGCCATGGTGCACGAACGTCTGCGCATTGTGGGCGTGGCAATGGGCGATCAGCCCTTTGTGTCCGACTGCGGTGACCTGGTGCTGGTGGCCAACGGCGAGATCTACAATTATCTGGAACTGTCCGCGCAGATAGCGAAGCGGCGCAGCGGCTACAAGCCGAAAAGCGATTGCCACGTCATCTTGGAGCTGTACCAGGATTACGGCGTGGAGCTGCTGCAGCACATAACGGGCATGTACGCCTTTGCATTGTACGATAAGCGCAGCAAGGAGCTGCTCCTGGCACGCGATCCCTTCGGCATTATACCCATGTACATAGGCGAGGATGCCGCCGGCAATCTGTGGATCGCCTCCGAGCTGAAGTGCCTGGCGGCGTGCTGTGACCGCGTGGAGACATTCACGCCCGGCGAAGCGCGCTTCGGCCGTGTCGGCGCAATGCGTCGCTGGCGCCACTTCGAGCAGCCCTGGCTGCAGGAGCTGCCCAGCTTGCCGTGCGACCTGTCGCTGCTGCGCGCCAGCCTGGAGTCGGCGGTGCGCACCCATCTCCACTGCGATGTGCATTTTGGCGCCTTACTCTCGGGCGGCGTCGACTCCAGCCTGATTGCCTCGATCGCCACGAAGATCATGCGCGAGACCAATCCCAGCTACAGACTGAAGACCTTCTCCGTGGGTCTGCGCAACGCGCCGGACTTTGAGGCCGCCCGCCAGGTGGCCAAGTACATAGACAGCGAGCACACCGAGCTGATCTTCGAGATAGACGAAGCCCTCGACGGCATACGCGACATTGTCTACCACCTGGAGACGTACGACGTGACCACGGTGCGCTGCAGCCTGCCCATGCTGCTGCTGGCGCGGTACATCAAGAGCACCGGGATCAAGATGATACTCTCCGGCGAGGGCGCCGACGAGATCTTTGGCGGCTACTTGTACTTCCACAAGGCGCCCAACTACGAGCAGTTCCACGAGGAGCTGGTGAAGCGTGTGCAGCAGCTGCATTTGTCCGATTGCCTGCGCGCCAACAAGGTGGCCATGGCCAAGGGCGTGGAGCTGCGTGTGCCCTTCCTGGACACGGAGTTCGTCAACTATGTGATGAACATTCGGCCGCAGGACAAGATACCCGGCCCGCTGAACTCATTCAAGAAGGAGCGCAAGTCGCGCATGGAGAAGTTTGTGCTGCGCGCGGCCTTTGCCGAGGACTATCTGCCGGATGCCGTGCTCTGGCGCCAGAAGGAGCAGTTCTCCGATGGCGTCGGCTACGATTGGATCGACAGCATTCGCCGCGTGGCCACCAGCCATGTGGACGATGCGGACTTCGCGCAGGCTGTCGAACGCTTTCCATTCAACACGCCCACGACAAAGGAGGCGTTTTACTATCGCTGCATCTTTGAGCAGCAGTTTCCGGGCGAGTCGGCGGCACGGACGGTGGTTAGATGGGTGCCACGCCTCGACTGGGGCTGTCCGGAGGATCCGTCGGGTCGGGCGCAGGCCGTGCACCAGAATAAATCAGAGCAATAAAAGACTGATTAGCTTAAATGGCTTAGAATTGCATTATTGTATTCAATTCCAGCAAAATTCACTTGAGTACAAAGGAAAAACAAAACGTTTTGTGAATTCAACACAAAAATCTGTCAGGGCAAGCACAATTTGCGTTAAAATAAAAATGATAAATAAAAACAGAAAAGAAAACGTTTACGTTTATTGACATTTGATATCTGTGCATTTGATACCGCTGATTATAGCTTTATCAGTGATACATATTACAATTACGATTGCTGACGCACCTGTGTTGCCTGGAAATATTTTATTTATCAGAGCTTCATGTTTTAATCAATCACAGCCGCTTACCAAGGTTATTTATATTTTTTAAAAATACGCGCAAATCGAAGAGTTGCCAGACCGTTGCTAGAGAGCGGAGACAACATCGTCAGCACACTTGCGATGAAATATCGATAGGGCAGCAGCACATGCAACTCTGCATAATATATCGATGTGGTTCGTATCGATTAATGGCAACAACCGATGAGCAAGAAGAGGCAATTTTTCGCAACGCGCAACAAAATCGGTGTTAAATTCATATAAAAAGTGTAAAAACCATTTCACAAATAGGCTCAAGAACAACCAAATATTGAAAATGTGCAACAAAATGTGATGTTTGTTATACAGAACAACCGCTACGCGGCCAAATTGCTAATGCAAATCTGACCCATGAGCAATGAGAGAAGGAGAGAGCAAGAGAACATATAGCCAAGCACAGCGCGTCACTGAAAAAGTTCACGAAATCAGCCAGCAACAGCAGCAGCAGCAGACGAGACTTTGAAGACGTTGGAATTTGTGTTGAACCCGCGGCAGCCCGACGGCGCTGCGACTGCGACGGCGACGTACACCTCCAGCAGTCAGCAATAACGGTAGGCAGAGAAAGAGAGCAGCGATATAGCAACAACAAATGACATTTAATTTACCAAAGTGAAACTGCGCGCAACAACAACAACAATACAAATAAAGAAGTGGGTGAGAGGAGGCAACAATAAGAGCAAAACTGTGATCTCTCGTCTGGCAATTGTTCAATTGGCTGTGCTTTGAAACGACATAGAATTTATTTAATACGCGTATTTGTGTGCATTACAAATTGTTTGTTTAATTTCCAACTGGAAAATCAATTTTTAACATTGGCCAAGGCGGCCAAGCAGCAGCAGCAGCAGCAGTTGTTGTTGCTGGCGTCAGACCCAACCCAAAACAAAAATTGAGCGTAAAACGAAGAGAGGGACACGAAGAAGAACAAGCAGCAGCCGGATTTGCAAAAAATGTGAGTATTTATTTAAGCATAAGTATGTGTGCGTGAGTGTGCGTATCTGTGAGCGTGTTAAAAAAAGATCATGCAACTATTTGGCCAAGACACGCATTCGCATTCGCCTCCGCTTCCGTTCTTTTTCATTTTTTTTTGTTTTTTATTTGACATTTAAATTTGACAAATTTGGCCGCAGCCGCAATCTCGGCAGCGCAGTCCAATTGGCTAGCAGCATAACGGGAACAGCTGCTGCTTGTTTTTCAAAGCTAACGCAGTCGCCGCAGCCTTTAATCAACTAGCCATATCTTATCGTTTAGTTAAGAGTTAAAAAAGTACTAAAAGCTGCCAGTTACGAAAGCTACGCCCAGCGCTTTGTAATAATTTCTGGCTTGCTGTTGCTGCTGCTGTTGTTGTTGTTGTTGTTGTTTTATTATAAATAGAAAATTGCGTATGCAGTGCTAATTTGTTGCTTGCTCGCTCAAAGCTCTCTCTCACTCTCTCAAACAAGTCGCTGTTGTTGCTTAGTAATTGACGACACACTCTACCTTTGCCTCTACAACTCGCTGCTGTCGTATTATCTCATTCAGCTATTTCCATAAATATGTTGATTTTTTCGTTGTTTTTTGTTATTTTGTTTTTGTCGCACACTCTGGCAGCGCTGGCGGCCATACATAGACGGCTTGACGTCGACGTCAACGTCGCTGTTGCTGCTGCTGCTGCTGCTGTTAACAGCGAAGCTAGCGATTTACCGTTTATGTCGGTGCCGTAACCAGAGCCAGTAACAGACAAACAGCAGCAGCGCCGCAACCTTTCTGGCCACATTGTTTTAGTTTTAGTTTTGGCCATTTAACTGCCCGCTCACCACCCACAAAGTGAGCAGTACTCCTTGACGCCGTCACGCCTAGCGCGGTGAGATGATTCATATTTGTGCACAACGACGATGACGACGACGTAACAACGCCCCGCTCACACTCCTCCCCTTCACTACCCAGGCACTCGTGTCATTCCAGCACTGCCATCTGTCCATGCCCATACCCACCCGCATAGCCATTCACCTACTTTTCGCAGCCCAAACACTGACTTCATTTTTCACACACACGCGCACACACTGATACGCACTACGGCACTCACACCTACACACACCCACACGCACACACACACACACACACAGGCACATGCATAAACACAGAAATTGTTGCCCATTTTGCGACTGTTGCTTTTGCTTCTTCTTCTCGCAGCTGCTTCTTCTTATGTTTTTAACGTGCGCGCGCGTAGTTAAGTAATTGCGCGGACTATTTGAATTGAGTTTAAGCGACTTTCATGTTTCATGACATTTTCTACTTTTGATGAAGTAAAAAAAGTTACAGTGGCTAAATTAAAATACTTGCTGCACAGGATTTGGAGTCCAGCGTAGGTCAATCAATAGTCCCCGCAGTGCAGGAATCTATTTATTAATGCATTTCATCTCTCGCCACAAATGCACTTTGCTGCATTGTCCAATCGTCCAAATGAAATTGACCTGCATTGTGCTGGCTACCGGCTGAGACTCGTGTGGCATAAATATTTAATACAATTTGGCCAGCCAAAAGCTGAAATCAATTTTTATCCATTCACTTTTATTGCAGCTGCAACGGACACACACACACACACACACCTCACACGAGAATAGTGAGAGCGAGGGGGAAAAAGACAGTCGGAGAGAATGGCGTACCGCAAGCCAACCGATTTGGATGGCTTCATTCAACAGATGCCAAAGGCGGATATGCGCGTCAAGGTGCAATTGGCTGAGGATCTGGTGACATTCCTCAGCGACGACACCAATTCAATTGTCTGCACAGACATGGGCTTCCTCATTGACAATCTGATGCCGTGGCTGACGGGCAGCCACTTCAAGATCGCACAAAAGTCACTCGAGGCCTTCTCGGAGCTGATCAAGCGTCTGGGCAGCGACTTCAATGCCTACACACAAACTGTGCTGCCCCACGTGATCGATCGCCTGGGCGATAGCCGGGACACGGTGCGCGAGAAGGCGCAGCTGCTCTTGCGTGATCTGATGGAGCACAAAGTGCAAACGGCTCAATCGTTAATTGATAAACTGGCCACCAGCTGCTTCAAGCACAAGAATTCCAAAGTGCGCGAGGAGTTCCTGCAGACACTTGTCAATGCCCTGCACGAATATGGAACGCAGCAGCTGAGCGTCCGGGTCTATATAATGCCGGTCTGTGCACTGCTCGGCGATCCCACGGTGAATGTCCGCGAAGCGGCCATACAGACGCTCGTGGAGATATACAAGCATGTGGGGGATCGCCTGCGGCCAGATCTGAGGCGTATCGAAGATATGCCCGCCTCCAAGCTGGCCCTGCTCGAGCAGAAGTTCGATCAGGTCAAGCTGGAGGGTCTGCTGCTGCCCTCCGCCCTGCGCAATTCCAATGGCAATGGCCTGGACGAGGCGGACAACATTTCGCTGCGGGATCGACCCACAAAAATCGTGAAGCGACAATTGCACTCGGCAACAACGACTACGCTGCGTCCAAAGCCAAGTGCCCACGATATGGCCGGCGATGCTGGCGCCGTGACGATGGACAATTTTGAGGCCAGTTTTGAGCAGGTGCCGCAACTGACTATATTCCATGCCAAGGACATGGATGATATATTCAAGCAAATATTGTTAATCATAAGCGATAAAAATGCCGACTGGGAGAAGCGTGTGGATGCCGTCAAGAAGGTCCGCTCATTGCTGCTCATCAATTTTCATGCACAGCCGCAATTTATGGCTGTGCAGCTGAAGGAACTATCACTGGGCTTCCTGGACATACTGAAGGAGGAGCTGCGCTCGCAGGTGATACGCGAGGCGTGCATCACAATCGCGTACATGTCCAAGACGTTGCGCAACAAACTGGACGCCTTCTGCTGGAGCATACTCGAGCAGTTGATCCAGCTCATCCAGAACTCGGCCAAGGTGATTGCATCCGCCTCCACGCTGGCGCTCAAATATATTATCAAATACACACATGCGCCCAAGCTGCTGAAGATCTACACGGACACGCTGCAGCAGTCCAAGTCGAAGGACATACGCGCCACGCTCTGTGAGCTGATGGTGCTGCTCTTCGAGGAGTGGCAGACCAAGGCGCTGGAACGGCACGCGATCATCTTTCGCGACACGCTCAAGAAGTCGCTCAGCGATGCGGACAGCGAGGCGCGGCGGCACTCGCGCCTGGCCTACTGGGCGTTCCGACGACACTTTCCCGAGCTGGCTGATCATATATATGGCAGCCTGGACATAGCCGCACAGCGTGCGCTCGAGCGGGAGCGCGATGGCGGCGCCTCGAATGGCAGCAGCAGCAGCCAGCAGTCGTTGGATTCGCGACGCACGGTGGCCACATCGCGCATTGGACGCACAACGACCGCATTGCAGAAGCCGACGCCCAGCATGCGCTCCATTTCGGCGGTGGACACGGCAGCGGCACAGCGCGCCAAGGCACGTGCCCAATACACGCTCTATTCGCGCCAGAAGAAGCCGGCGGCGACGCTGCAGTCATCAGCCGGCGGTGGCACAGCTGGCGGTGGCTCATTGCCGCGCCCACGTCTCAATTCGCATAGCAACAGCGGCGGCGGCGGCGGGGGAGCCCACCAGACTGTCTCGCCGGGCACAGTGACGCCCAGCACACGGATCGGACGCACACGCGCCGGCGTTTCGCAATCGCAGCCCGGTTCGCGCTCCACCTCGCCCAGTACCAAGCTGCGCGATCATTATGGCATGGGCAGCTATTACAGAGGCGTCGGCGGCAGCGGCGCCACAGGAGCCATACCCAAGAAAGCATCCGGCATACCGCGCAGCACGGCCAGCTCCAGGGAGACGAGTCCCAATCGCTTAGGCGGCGGCGGCAACGGTGGCGGCATAATGAAACGCAGCATCTATTCAACGGGTTCCAGTGCGAGACGCACACCCGAACGCAATAATCCTGTGCGCAGCACAGCCGCATCACGTATGCTGGCCCAATCCCGCGAGGCGGAGCAGTCGCTGGGCAACAACGATGCAGAGACACCGGACTTCGTGTCGGGGGACTTTATGCGCACGGGCGGCATACGCATGGGCCGGAAGCTGCTGGGCCGGGACGAATCCGACGATATTGACTCGGAGGCGAGCTCGGTCTGCTCGGAGCGTTCCTTTGACTCGAGCTATACGCGCGGCAACAACTCCATGTCCAACTACTCGCTGAGCGGCTCGCGCAATCGTCTCGACTGGAATAGCCAGCGGGCGCCGTTCGACGATATCGAGACGATCATACAGTACTGCGCCTCAACGCACTGGTCGGAGCGCAAGGATGGCCTGATCAGCCTCACCCAGTATCTGGCCGATGGCAAGGAGTTGACGCAACAGCAGCTGCAGTGTGTCCTGGACATGTTTCGCAAAATGTTTATGGATACGCACACTAAAGTCTACTCTTTGTTTTTAGATACGGTCACCGAGCTCATCTTGGTGCATGCACCCGAGCTCCACGACTGGCTGTTCATATTGTTGACGCGCCTGTTCAATAAGCTGGGCACCGATCTGCTCAACTCGATGCACAGCAAAATATGGAAGACACTGCAGGTGGTCCACGAGTACTTTCCGACACAGCTGCAGCTCAAGGAGCTGTTCCGCATCATCTCGGACAACACGCAGACGCCGACAACCAAGACACGCATTGCCATTTTACGTTTCCTCACCGATCTGGTCAACACGTACGGCAAGAGCAGCGATTTTCCCAGCGATCAAACGCAGAGCTGCGAGCGAACCGTGCTCAAACTGGCCCAAATGTCCGGCGATCACAAATCGATTGAGCTGCGCTCACAGGCCCGCCTGTGCCTGGTGGCGCTCTACAATCTGAATACGCCGCAGATGACCAAGATGCTGGCCGCATTGCCCAAGGGCTATCAGGATACGGCACGTCTGTGCATCCAATCGAATCTACGGCGCCAGAGCAGCGGGGCCAATTCGCCGAGCAGCTCACCGCTGAGCAGCAGCAGCCCGAAGCCGTTGCAGAGCCCCAGCGTTGGTCCGTTTGCCTCGCTCAATATGCACATGAATTCTAGTCCACGTTCGCGTCAGTCCTCTGTGGAGCAGGAGCTGCTCTATGGCTGCTCCGAGCTGGAGGTGCAGCACAATATACAAAAGACCTCCGAGGAGATACGTTCCTGCTTCGCTGGTGGCCAGTATCAGTCGCTGGCGCCCAATGGCTACAATGGACACCATCTGCAGTTCACCATGGATCAGCAGCAGCAGCAGCATCAGCAGCAACAACAGTTGACAGCGCAGCAGGACTCGCTGTCGTCCAACTCGAAAACCCAATCGTCGGCCAACACCACGCAATCAAATACACCGGAATCGGCCACCATGCGCTTGGACACGGCAGCTCCGGCCATGCAACAGCCAGCGCCCAAAGTATCACTGACTATCGCCTCGAATGGCGAACTGATACTGCCCGGCAATCTGCTCGAGAGCGAAGTGATGCGCGTCGCCCTCACGCTCAACAAGGATCAGCCCGTCGATCAGCTGCAAACGGCGCTCAACAATCTGGGCATCTGCATACGCGGCGGCAACTGCGAGCTGCCCAATAAGCATTTCAAATCCATAATGCGCATGCTCCTCCACATGCTGGAGGCGGAGCACACGGATGTGATCATCTCTGGCCTGCATGTGCTGAGCAAAATTGTGCGCAGCGACAAGATGCGGCACAACTGGCTGAACTTCCTCGAGCTGATTCTGCTGAAGATCATCAATTGCTATCAGCACAGCAAGGAGGCGCTGCGCGAGATTGACACCATGATACCAAGACTGGCGCCAGCTCTGCCCTTGGATCTGACCATTAACATTGTTAATCCGGTGATAGCGACGGGCGCCTTTCCGGCCAATCTGTGCGCCATCAAAATACTGCTCGAGGTGACCGAACAGCATGGCACCGAGATCTCGGATGCCCATCTGGACGCTGTGTTCCCCAATCTGGCACGTTCCGCTGATGATGTGCAGTCGATGGTGCGCAAGGCGGCCGTCTTTTGCATTGTCAAGCTGTATCTTGTGCTCGGCGAGGAGAAGCTCAGTCCCAAGCTCTCAGCAATGAATCCCAGCAAGGTGCGTCTGCTGAAGGTGTACATTGACAAGCAGCGCAACTCCAGCAATTCGGGCGGTGGCTCCACAAAGAACTCCTCGGCGGGCTCCTCCTCATGATTGCGAGCCGCACACAAACAGAAAGACACCAGCGCGGCTTTGTCTCTTAGCTTATGCAAAAAGTGAAAAGTTAAAAACAACAACAACAACAACAACAAACAAAAACACACGATTGATGATATATAACAATATAGAACACACTAATTATTTATATATAAAAACAAGAAAACTAATTATTACTGATAATAAGCATAATCAATGCGACGATGCTGACAAAATCAATAATTGTGTAATTGTTTATTATTAATACACGCAGAGAAAGAAAAAGAAAAAACAAAAACAAAAAACAATTGTACCGACAGGCACAGAACAAACTATTTATATACGTCATTAACAAAAAACAAAAAAAAAACAAAAAAGTAAAAACTTTGAAATAAAAAGTAAAATCTTGTAGCCAACAGCTGTCAGTCTCTCCCAACACACACACACACACACACACACACACACACACACACACACACACACACACACACACACACACACACACACACGGTCTCTGCCCAGTTTTTTTATGCTTTCTATATCTTATTAATATAGTCACTTATCCATATAATTTCCTTTAGTTATGTAAGTCGTAAAAGGAACAGTCGTTTTTTATGTACGCTAAATTATTTTTAACGTCGTCCTGCCGTCATCCTGTTTAACTTTCGCTCCTCGATGCAAAACTAATTTCTTCTGATAATACGCGATTTCTCCTGTTTTTACAACAAAACTATTTTTGTAATTAATTTAAAAAAAACAAAACAAAACAATAAAAACAAACACTTTTAGGTTATGTAATAATATTTATAAATTAATTCAAAAGAAAATAAAACAGTTAAACAAAAACAAAAGAAAATATAACAAACAAAAAACCGCTCCCAATATATAAACACCATATACTGGCTTTTCTTTAGACTTAAATTGGGCGCAAGTAGAAACATTTAAAAACGTTTGCTAATATTTTGATTTGTTTTTTTATTGTATTTATTTTGTTGCTCCATAAAATTTAAACGTTCAAATATGGTTTTTATGTACACAAGAACTTAATTTTAGCTACATGTATATATAATTTTATTTACTTTTCTTTTCCTCTTTGTTTCATTTTTTTTTTTTGAACTTTGAAAATATTTGATCATAAAATGTCAACACTACGAAGTTCTGTTGTTTTCCGTTTTTTGCTTGTGATTAATTTAATTTGTTTAATTAACAACTAATTGTATTTTTTGTTTGCAATGGCTTTTCTATGCTTTGACTAAAAAACATTTTTGAATGTTAATCGTTGTGTGTTTTTTGGAGTTTTGGTTGTGCTTTCGATTTATTTTTATTTTGTTTTTGGGCCCTTCTGAAACCTGAACTGGTTGTTATACATAAAACTGATAGAATTTTTACAAATCTCATTAATATAGTATTTTTCCCTATTTTTTTCTTTTCTGAACGTGAAACTAAATTAAGGCACTTAAATCGAAATGAATTCAAAATTAAATTAAAAATGTGGACAAGTACAAAAAGAAAAGTGTGCGGTGGTTATTTGATAGAAGTTTTAAACATTTAGTGCTTGGCTTTAACAGCTATTTAAAATTACCTTGTTGTATATAATTAACTAAAAACGTAAATACCTTATAAAGTGTGTACTCGCATTAAAGTTTTCCTTTTCAATGGCACATCTTTTACTAACTATAACTTTGGGCCTAGCCTTGAGTTGGCAAGCAAAATCGACTACTTAAGATTGCAAAATGAGTTAATGGACAAAAAAACCCAGACACACGAAGAAAAGTAAAGGTTAGGAAGAGTATTAACGAAATGCATTGCTCTACGGTGTATGTACAGTGGGACAAAGTGCTCAACAGGCCAAACAAATATTGGTTTGGCTGCGTTTTTTGTAAAACATTCAACTACTTAAGTTTAGGTTTTTGTTTTTTTACAATTTGGCCTGTTTTGGTTTTTTGTTTTTGTTTAAAATGAATTTTGCACGCAATCATCGCCAGCAATGCCCGCAATAAATACTCTACATCTGTGGCGGGCATTGCCGAATTTTGACCGAAAAAGGCACACACAGAGAGAATTTTAAATGACAAACGACTCGGACACAACTACATATCTATATATATATATCTAAATACTATATAACTATGCATGTGTGTGTGTGTGTGGCGTTTACTAGTAGCCATTGCAGCGTATTTCGCCGTAGCGCGTTCTGCTCGCACTGTAGGCCGCATAGCCGTAACGCTCATACGCCGCGTAGTCCGGATACGGATATAGCTGGCCACGCATACGACTGCGCGAAGACATCTGCATCTGGCTGTGGTAGCCATAGCCGTGCTGCTGCTCCTCGTACGGCCAGTAGTGTTGCATGCCACCAGCCGCGTTTGTGGCATCATAGTAGCCATGGCTGGCGCTGCCGCTGCCGCTGCCGTTTGTGGCATATTCCTCGGCCAGCCGCTCGACGAGACTCTCGGGCGTTTGCAGAAACCGCTCGGAGAAGCGGCCTATTTCGGTGGAGCCAAACGCCTGCTGAAAGCCAGGCAAAGGCTTTATATCCTGTAAGTAGACAATATTTGATTCGTTTATTATCTTAATTAGTTTTGGGCTGACATTAAGTTATGAGACTCTTATGTTTTGGTTCAAATCTTGGTTTTTGATAAATATATATTCGAGATTTTAGTAAGAGAATTAAATTGAAAAATTTCCAGCTGCCCGCTGTGCTGAAAATATTGCAAGTCGTAAATATTTTCATAAACAAGATGCGGGCTAAATTTTAGATTTGGTCCCTTTTTAAATTAACAAAACTAAATCAATTGCCAGAAATGCATTACGAAACACTTAAAAATTTAATTTAAAATCGCTTTTAACAAAAATATTTTAAATAATAAATAAATAGTTTAAAAGCAGTTGAAAAACTAATATAAAATGGATAGATTGGTGAATAAACTAACGAAAATGTATTCAAAAATCTTTTATTGCCAAACTCATAAATCAATCCCATAATAATTTCTAATATTATTTAAAAATAATTAATGACGGCATATTAACATCTAGTTTTAAGACAATAATATATAAATAATAATATAAATTAAATTAACCTTAGAAACCTGCCCGCATTTATTTATTTCAGCGATTCAAAACTAATTGAAAAAAGTCCTGAAATTAAAATATTCAAAGGACAGATAAATTAATAGGTTTTTATTTTTATACAAATTCAAACGTCGAATGTCTAGGAAATGGGTTTTGCGGTTTTAAACGGGGGCCAAACTTTGTAAAATGGAATTTCACTTGACAGTTTGTGCTTTTGTGTTATTTGTTCATATATACATGTATGTGCTTGTGTATGTGTGTGTTTCTCACCCTTATTTGCTCCCGCACCGTGGATTCCGTTGCTTCCACATTCTCCGTTTCCGTTTCCCTTTTGCTCGCTTTGCGCTTTGATTTCTTGCTCGGTATGAGATCGCATTCGATGATGCGATTGTTGCTGTTGTGGTTGTTGTTGTTGTTGTGGTTGCTGCTGCTGCGATTTTTGGGCGTCGCATTTCGTTTGCTGCTCACTGGCTGCTGCTGCTGCTGCTGCTGCTGCAGCAGTGGCGCCAGCGCAGGTGGCACAGTGGGCGCTGCCAGGCCGTAGCCCACCGGCGAGTTCTGCGGCGCGGGCGGAGTGCGCGGCCGACGCAACGTTGGACTCCAGCTGTTTGTTGCTGGCTGCTGCTGCTGCTGCTGTTGCTGCTGCTGCTGCTGCTGCTGCTGCTGGTGTTGCTGCAAGTGCAACAAGAAGAATAAAATCGATTTAGTTTTCAGCTGCAACGCTCGACGGGGCAAAAAGTTGTTACGCTCAAGTGGCGGGCACTTGAAACTTGCCAACGCAGGTGGCCCGGCTGTGCTGAAGCCCTAGCCAGCAGGCGCGTGCTCGCTGCTCATGTTGTCAAGCGGCGGCGGCAGCAGCAGCAACCCCATAAAGGGGCTAACCACTTCTCCCTAACCTCCCTGCAACTCACACCCACACCCACACACACACACACACACACATACACACTCGACCACCCACACAGTCGCATTGAAGTTCAGCGCCGCCCACAAAAATCAATAGGCGCCCGTTTGCGGCTGCTGCTGCTGTTACAGACGAGGCACCCTGTAAACAGGCTTCCGGCAAGAGAGCGCGCTCTGTTAATGCGCACTCTCTTTTGCGCTCTCCCACTCTCACGCTCTGCTATTGCTGCTGCTGGTGCTGCTGCCTAGAAAGCCGGTCGATGGAGCTAAACGCATTTCGCTTTTGGTCTTCTCTTTACAGTCGACTGCGGCTGCGGCTGCTGCTGCTGCTGCTGCTGTAACGGTACATCTTTGTAGTCTGTCATTATCAGCCCGTCTTTTGCTTTTCTTTTATTTTTTTTTTGTTTTCGGTTCCTTTGCCCTAATTTGTCTTCGTTGCCCAAACGAGCTGCTGTCACCTGTCTGCCGTTTAATTAGACAGCACCCCAAGCAACAGCCCCCCGCTGTCTCTTTGCCCACTTGCTTGCTGCAGTTTTAAATTGTAATTTTGCGCCAATCTTGGCATAACTTACCTCAGCTGCATCCTCGTTGATGTGATTAGATGCTGGCTGCTGCTCGGCAATATCCTGTGGCGTTGTTGACGTCTGCTTGTTGGGCTTCGTCAAATTGATTTCCGCACGCCTCACAACTTCCGGCTGCTCGGCGCTCGCCGCCTTATCAATATCATTCACAATAGGCGTTGCTGTTGGCGGCGACGCTGACATCGACATCAACGTTGACGTCGACGTCGCTGCTGTCGCGCTTATGTCATCTGGAAAATTAGCAAGCAAAAAGGCGCCCAGGCAGGCAGCGTGTGTTAAAAGAAAATCAATAAAGATTGCTTCTTTCTTTTTTTTTTTCTGTTTTAGTTGTATATTATTTGTCAGGCCAGGCGTCTGTAATTATTTTGTCATGCGTGTTGGCGGCCATCAAGGGTTAAAAAGACAAAGGTTCGGGAACAGGTTGACCAACGCGAGAGAGGCGCGATTTTTTTTTTCTATTTTTTAGGATTTTTTTTTTTTGCACGCGCTTATCAAGTTGTGATATCGTTCCTCGCTTCGGGGGTAGCTAAGAGAGAGCGTCGACAAGCCAAAGAGAGAGACAGCGAGAGAGAGAGAGAGAGAGCCGCACATCAACATGCACTTGTTGAACGTGTCAAGCACACACACACACACACACACGCGAGCGTCTGTTTATCGGAGTATAAAAAATGATAGCACGCTTTTCAGCGCATGCGACTGAGCCTGCAATGTTTACGTATTTTTGTTGTGGCCTGCGATATTCGATTCGAGCTCTTGTTATTGTAATGCTATTCGCGTCAAACAAATCAATTATAATCAATTTAAAGGCCGATAGTGTTCAGTGTATGTGTGAAGGGAAATAAAGAGAATATTGTAATAAATATAATAAATTAAATATTTATGTGTTTGCTACTTTGGATTTCTCAATTACAAATTAAAACTGAATTAAATGAAAAATTATTGAATATATTTGCATAAAACGAAAGAATATTCTTTATAATTTAGCTAATAAAACGGTTATCAAAATTCGAGGCGAAATTTAACGCGTTTTAGGCCTCAAGTTAACTTTATTCTAAGCATTTGAGACAATTAAAGAGCATTGAGAACTTACTGCTAACTGCTGATTGTAGTAAATACTTGTAGAAAATAGCAAAATCTACTCTAATTCTATATATATACTATATTATATTTATACCAGCAAAGGTTTAAGCGTCCACTTTATGGCGAATCCTTGTTGACTGTTTGTCTTTGCATGGCTCAGTTGATTCGTCATAACGGACATTGATTTTTGCGTCAATGCTGGATACTTCTACCGACAACAAATATTGCAAGACCGGAACCGGGCTGCTCCCGGGGTGTCTCCTCTGTGCCTGCTCTGTGCCGTCTCTGTATGTGTTGGGCAAACAGCAGCTACAATAACCCACCACATGGCGTTGTAAAGTTCATTTACATGCTCTGCTGTGATGACATTTAACGCACACATGCTCAACTTAAACACCCTCGCAACAGCTTAAGTGTGTGCGTGTGCGTGTGTGTGTAAGTTGAGCGCCCATTGATAAGGACGGCATTGCCCACAAGTCTCGTTTACATTGGGAAATATTTAGAAAAGCTGTCAAATGTCGGGCCTCTGTGTGCCTGTGTGTGTGTGTTTGTGGAAGCCACACACTTTACACCTTCCATATCCAGTGCTGTGCTGTGTGGGAGTTCATTCTCTCTCTGTGAGTGTGTGTGTGTGTGTGTTTGTGCCTGACGCGACATCAGAAAAGTTAACTTATTGATTTGCACACACGCCCCTGCCAAAAAGTAAAATCAAAAGCAACTCATCAAGAGGCACAGCCCCAGCTCCGTCTCAGCCCAGTCAGGCAGGCGCCCACCCTTTGCGTGCCTAAATAGACAGCTAATTTTGAAGTCCTTTAAAGCGACATGACGTAGGCTCGTCACAGCTACCTCCACCTCCACCTCCACCTCCACCTCCAACACCGACCGCGCCGTGTGGCACAGCCTGTGCTAAGTCGGGCCGACAGGAAGCGGAAGCATTTCAGCAGTTAACCAAACGCTGATTGGTTGAGTGTTTGCGAAATGTCGACTCCACGAGGCGGCTGAGACTGACCGTTTGTCGTGTCAAATGGCTGCAAATGCCTGACGGACAGTTGCCTGTCAGTGCTTGGCGCTGAAGCGAAGCCGGCGAGGCTGACGGCCGCGTTGATGGCGGCTCGAATGGTGGCTCTTTGCATTCATTTGCATGCAAAATCAAGCATACGCAGTGGGGTACACGCAAAAAAAAATACCACCAGGCAGGCGCCAGCTACAGTGGAATATTTGATAATGTTGACATTTATATGTAATTGCATAAAAAATGTGCTGTACAAATGTTAATTACTCAATTAATTTGCTGTATGGAATGTATGGAATCTCTCTCAGAACTTGATCTTAATGAGAGTACAGCAGTAACATTATTACATTCTGTTATATTCAATGTTGAATTTTACCGTTTGTTACTTAACATGCATCTGTAAGTTTCTCTAGAAACAGTTAATGTTAAAGCTCTGTCTGAACTTGATCCGGTTATGTGAGTATCAGAAGTAACATACTTGCATTTGGTTATGTTAACTGATAACTGCTGCCAAATATTGTTGTTAACTTAACAGTGCTTGTTACAGCTGTCTCTCTCTAAACTGAAACTTGCACTAACTGCCATTAATTGCAAAATTTTATTTTATTTTGTTATGTTGCCTGAAAGTTGACAGAAAATGTAAGGATCTCTCTCTCCTAACTTGATCTTATTAAGCAGCGTAAGACATTTTATAAATGTAATCGAACTGTTATGCTGTAACGTGCATCTGTAATCTGAATTAGGCTTATGCTAACCTTACAGTTAATGTTTAAGCTCACTGTCAACTGGATCTTGTCAGCGTTAACGTTCGCCTTTGGTTATTTACACTGTTAACAGCAGCAACATTTTGCTTTAACAGCTTTCCACGGTGCCAAGGTCTGTTGCCCACTTTACAGCTGCTGCCGTTTCGTTAGCAAAAGCCCGCGGCGGGGGGAATTAATACTTGTTACATAATCTAGTCTGACATATGTTTGCATAAATTTACAATGATTGCCCCGCCCACCGGTGCCGCCCTCTGCATAATTGTAAATTAAATGGAGCGTAACGCAAATAGTGACAACTTACCGTTCATTATGGGGGGCGTGGCAACAGCCGTTGCCTTGTGCTCCTCCTGCTGCTGTTGCTGTTGCTGCTGCTGCTGTTGCTGCTGCTGTTGCTCCTCCTCGTAGTCCCTGCCATCGGCGGAACAGTGATACGAGACACAGGAAGCAGACTCCACAGACATATTAACGGGATACTCGCCACTGTAGACGGGCGTGCTCTGGCTGCTGTCGCTGCGGGCGCGTGTGCTGCAATTGCTGATGCCGCTGTCCGTGCCGGTGGCACTGATCATTGGCGGCGACGTGGTCAGCCGCTGCGACGGCGATGTCGCCTCCGTTTCGTGCTCCAGCTTGATCTGTTGCTCCGGCAGCGTCTCCTCCAGCTTTGGCTGCGCTGCCGCCGCCAGTTGCTGCTGCTGATGCTGCTCCGTGTAGCTGCGCAATGGTTCCAGATAATTGGGTGGCATCACTGTACGATTGGGCGCCGGCGTTGTGGACCGTCCGGGCGGTGCATAGTGTGTGGGCGTGGCTGGCTGATAGGCGGCAAAGCCACGTGCCTGTCCATAGCCGGAAGCACTGTAGAGCGCAGGCGCCGGCTGCTCGTAGCCGCCGCCGCCGCCGCCGCCGACGCTGGTCGACTGCTGTGCCTGATAGGCGTGCTGCATGTGCGGATGTGGGCGTGGCGGATAGTGGAGCACACTGGAGGGTATCAGCTGCTGGCCAGCGGCCGTGAACATGCCCGCATGATGCGAGGGCGCGTGCTGACTGTAGTGTGGCGAGGCATACGGCGCATAGCGATAATAGCTGGGCAAATAGGAGCCAGCGCCGGGGCTGGCATAGCCATAGCCATAGGGATTATAGGCGCCGCCATAGCCGCCGCGATAGCCGGGCGGCGCATAGTGCGACATGGCTGCCTGCGCCTGCGCCTGGGCCTGAGCCTGAGCCTGAGCCGGATGCAGCTGCTCGTAGTAGCTGGCCGGGTATCTGTCTGACATGGCCGCGGCGATGTTTGCACAAGGGATGCAATCTAGTGGCCACTTTCGTGCAGCAACAATAATAACAATGGCAAAGTTGACTGCCCTGTCCCGTTTCTTGTTGTTGTTGTAGTTGTTGTTGTTGTAGAGGCCATATTGCGTCGCCTTCGCTGTGTGGTCAATGGCGAGGATATCCTCTTACATGCGTCTATTATTGATTTTCTTTCGCTCTTCTTTACGTTTCTTTATTTTCTTACGATTTCTTCTAGCAAATCCCTTTCAGCTCGAGAAGGGTGCGTGTTGTCCTTTGCCCTCTTATTTATGTGCAGAGTATTTGCCTGCAAGTGGACAAAGTCATATGTAAATTATATGTGTGTGTTTGTTTAAATGTAAAATGCAGAATATTTGACTGGGCTGCACTTAAGCTCTGAATATTTAATAGTAAAGGTGGATGGCAAGGCTGTGCCACCCAAACAGCTGGATAGCTTGATAATGCGTTAATTTGCACACATTTTGTGTTTCTGTATGCAATTTAATTAATGTTGAACAATAATATTTAATGCTCAAGACACTTAAGCCGCAGGACATGACGCTCAAGGACTTTCAGCAGCAGACGCCATAACGAATTAACATCCGACTAGCTGCTCCGGCAGCACATTAAATTGTGAATTGAGCCATCAAGTAGATACAAATTGCATGTTAGGCGCAAACCCCTCAAAGTATGCTCTGGAATTTTAAGAGACTATTTTACCTGGGCTAAGTTCCTGACAGTTGTCAGTCGCTATTCAGATTTGCCGAGCGGATAAAGTGGCTTGCAACATTTGCCGGGCAGACGCTGTTAACTGTTAAGTTAACAGCTGTTATAGGCGTACAAACCTGTTAAAGCGGAAATTGGATGGTTTTCCCAAGTAGTAAATATTATGATATATTGTATATCTACGTGTGTCCTCGTATAAAAATATAAAAAGTATATCAAGAAGGAGAGCTAGATGAAAAAATGGAGGTAGCCGCAGATATGCTTTGTGCGTTGGACCTTTAAGGCTGTTAAATGAGATGCACATGGTGAGTACACAACTCAAAAAGAACTTGTTTTTAAATAACGCCCTACTATGCGATTCTCAGGAATTCAAGTATGGCTTACAAGTCTGCATGCTAATTATGCTCTAGCTCAATTTTAGTCAAATTACCCCCCTTTTCTCACTCTCCCTTTCTCCTCCTGTCTCTCTTTTTTTCTTAATTTTTTCTTTTTCTAACCAAGCTCTTACTTTAACTAACTCTTTTCTTCTCTTTTTCTTTTAGCGATGCGAATATATCAAAGTATGTTAAGTCACCTTCTACTTATAGCTGACAGTAAAGTGAAGACAGTGAAGATGTGAATTTCAGGTGAGTACATACTGACATATCAATTTATGTACGAATAAGAATATATATAAGGACATGAATGGATAGAAGGCCTGTGTGTCTATTCTCATTCCGGTACAGCTCTTATTTCTGCAATTTCCAGTTGAGTACATTTAAGCAAAATTCCTTGCTGTACTCAACAGATCAATAAACCAGGTAATAATACTGTTGATTAAGCACGACAAAAATATTTAACTAAAGCATTTGAGGGGCATTTTGGAAATGTGAGGTGCATAAATGCAATTCCTGTGTTATGCACAAATGTGGTTGCATTGGGGCAATGTGTGGCTGCTATCGAAGATTCTTGATGGATGCCTGCTTGGTCGCATGATGGGCACCTGCTGTGCAGTATAATGTATGCTGGGCGACAATAACAACAGCAGCAACAACAACAAGAACAACAACAACAACAACAAGCCACTCAACTTATCCAGCGAGCCGCACACTGTGTGCGTGTTTGTGTGCATTAAGATGAATGCATGAGAACTGCAAGCAATTTGGCCGCACGCAAACCGTTAATGAGCCACAAAAGTGCATACATGCATAGAAGGGGAGAGCGAGAGAGTGGCAGAGAGAGAGAGAGAGAGAGAGAGGAAAGAATGAAAATGGAATATGAAGCGGGTGCCAGGAGCAGCAGCCGTAACCAGGCAGCAATTGTGTGTATGTGTGTGTATTTGTGTGTGTGGGAGCTGGCGATTGACGTGTGCCATTTATTGATTAATTAGAGTGTGTGTGTGTTTTTTTTATTTTGCAAAACTCATCCAACATTTTCTAAGTCGTTTGATGAATTGGATGCGTCCGCTGCATTGGCAGGTTTATTGATTCGGCTATTTTAACTTTTTTTCTCGCGAATGTTGACTTTGAAGATGCCCTGCTGCTTGCCGCAAAACAAATTAGCAAAACAGCGAGAGCAGCATGTTGATAAGGGAGGGGCAGGGGTAACAGAGCGGGGTAACAGAGCAGCAACTCTATTAGCAGCCACGCGCTGGATAACATAATCAATGTGAATGTAAACACGCGCTGCGAGCAGTGAGCAGCGAGCAGCGCAAGAGAGCGCCCGACCGGCAGAGAGCGCTGGCGAGAGAGCTTTTTGCGTGTAGCCAAAAGGGCAATTGAAACGGGTTATGTTAAGTGCGTGTGCAAGGCGCAAACTGTAAACTGTAAATGAAATGAGCCTCGAAAATGTGTGGAGCAACTGCAATGGGGACTAAGGGCCAATACTCTCTCCGTCTCTCTCTATATCTCTCTCTTACGCGTTTACGCTTGTGCGTTGCAAGTGAACAGTAGGAAACGGAAGCTGTGTGGCATGAGATGCTGCCTGCCTCTGTCTGTTTCTGAGTGTGTGTGTGTGTGTGTTTGTGTGAGTGTGTGTAACGTTCTGTTTTGGGACAGCAACAGCCGCCCAGTTCCAGCGCATATAAATCAATAAAAACACACAGCAGCCTCGCCGAATCGAGTCGAGCTGACTGCGGGCTGCTGGCTGCTGCTCAGCGCAGCTTCATTAATGCTTTGCTATGCTCTCTACTTTTTAGCAGTTTTGTTGCCCAGCACTGATGCTAGTGTACACATACAAGTACAAGAAGTTACACACAAGCAGAGTAATTGTTACGTTGACGTCCTTTCTCGTACGTCAGAATATGCGAGCACCCTGGCGCACTTGAGCTAGCAAATATTGACAGTGCCCGAATGTATGCTGAAGTTTTTTTTTAAATGCAATTTTAATTGAGAGCTGCGTGCATGTGTTGTTCTTATTGCTGTTGTGTCTTGTTGTTATTCTTATTGATGCTATTCAATAATTGGGGCAAGTGCACGAAAGAGCGCAAGCTTTGAGTGAGAAAGGGATTTATAGATTATCTAGGCGATTTGGGGCACCTAAATTAATTAGAGGTGCTTTTCATATGCACAATTAATCATATTTGAAACAAGGAACGTTAATATTTTCTACATTATAATTTAAAATTAATACTTACCAAAAATCACTTAGATATGAGCTCTGCACATTTATACATAAATTGTCTTCTGCAATTTTCAAATTCAATATTGTATTGAACAAGCTTTTATTTTTATTTTTTTGCTTGTAAGTTTTTAATTCAAAATACCGTTATATTTGAAGTGATGCGCACGAATTCAAATTACATTTATTGTGAATACTCGCTACTCACTCTCTTCGCACTCTCGCACATAAATGGAAGAGCGACAACGCGGCAAACGATCAGAACTGTAAACACTCGTACCCGCACTCGCACTCACACACATTCGCATTTACATTCGCATTCACATGGGCATTGCCAAGTGGCGGTGCCGACTGTTTAACCCTTGAATGTGATTGCGTTACGTATACGCTGCGTGTGCGAACCGCGCCAAAGTCCAACGTAGACTGAAATGCGATACGGCTGGTGCGCTACCATTTATACACTGGCAGCCTCAGCGGTGTTGCTGTCGTACCCCCGAAAAATAATGAAGAAAAGCTGGCAAAAGACGGCGGCGAAAAAGCAGCGAAACAACAACAAAAAGTGGGCAGCAAGAAAGAAAAAAACGGCACATTGGCTGTGCTGCACTGGGAACCCAGCGCAAACTGTGTGACCCGATTTGATGGGCAACCTGCCCACAAACGCGCTGCTTACGGGGCGAGCGAGCTTTCGTTGGGTTCGCGCGGCTGAGGGAGAGAGAGAGAGAGAGCGAGCGCGCATTTGGCAATTGCAATGGGGCGAAACTCGCTCGCAAATGTCATTTGTAAATTCACTTACTTTGCTTACGAATTAGAGCACAAAACAGAAACCGAACAAAAACAGAGCGTGCCAAAACAAAAACTAGAGAACACATCTCAAAATGCGCATGAGAAGGTGGCAGAGGAGAGCGAGTGCGCAGCAAAACAGCAATTGCCTGCCTGGGGGTTTCCCTGGCTCAGTGCGAGTCATCTTATCAATGGGTATGTATGTGCCTGGTTTATTGATGTGTCCGGATAACACATACTATAAAGTATAGCACATATTAAGGGGCAGATTACACTGCATAACCCCAGCAACATTTCCAACCGACACTTGACCTATGACATTTATCCTCTGACCGAAAATGATATCTAATTGCCGGAAAAATAAACACATACATATAAAGGCTCCCACACACACACACACGCGAATACAACAACATCACAGTCAATACGCGCCATTATTATTGATTAAATCTGGGAGAGAGCTTAAGAGTGCTTACTGCTGCGCAATTCTCTCGCTCTTGCTCTCTCTCGCGGCAGATGCACGTGTTGTGTGTTTTGCGGTTTTTACAGTCAACACGAAAGCCTCCAAAATTTATTGTGGGCGACGATGCGTCGGTAACGAAGAAGAAGAAAAATAAAAAAAAACGTAAACAAAGCGTGCGCACGCAATGCTATTATACAGTGGGGTAGGGTAGGCAGTCGATGGATGGTGAAATACCCAGTTAGCAATATAGTCAAGGGTGTTTTTTTTATTGATTCCGGCAGACGGCATACAGGGTGTGAGCTATCAACAATAACTCCCGGAGACAAGATGCGAAAATAAGACCTAAACCAAGTATTTAACTAAAAAGTAACTTGACAAAAACGATTGAATTGTATATATTTATAAAAAAGAAAAAGAAATGTATATCAGCGTATACTAAACAATAATATTTTTATACATGCATATAATCTTTCCATAATATTTAATCGAAATTGATTACAGCAATCAATTATAATGTAACATTTATTAATTTCTTGATTATTTGGAGCAATTTGGTGCCACCTGCAGGCTTACCTGCACGCGCACTCTTCTTGTCAGCTTTAACAGTCTTTAAATACAGCCAGCACAGTGAACGAAAAAAAAACGTCAAACAATAAATGGGCTTCTATATAACGAAACAACTCCTAGCCAAACCAATGGGCGCCCATGCAGTCACGCGTCCATTCCGTTTGACAGACCCAGCACCATTCGAAGCCGCAGCCGGCGCGTGTGCAGACCATGTGCATGCAGCCACCTGAAAGTGGAATGGTTCAAGTGAGGGGTGTATAAAAAATGGGTGTCTGTTGTATAAGACGCTGTGCGGCTCACCATCTCGCTCCGTGGGCGTGCGACATTTTGGGCAGGGTTTGGTGCTCACTTTGATTGTCACATTGCTGGCCTCTTCCCAGCGAGCCTCCGCCGCGCGCTGTTACGAGATGCAAAATTGCGATTAAATTTAGCAACGGGGGGTGCCCCTTATGTGCGTAAGATGCTTACATTTGGATCCACAGTGTATTCACAGGAATTTGGTGCGCTGCCGGCGGCGCCCTCGGGCAGACATTCGCCAATGTGATAGCCCTGCAGGCAGTTGCGACAGAACACATAGCCGCAGCCGTTCTGACAGGTCACCTTGCGACAATCGGGCTCTACGAGCAAACCCATGCCACAGCCCGGCTGTGGACAGAGCACACCGCCCGCCTGCAGAACGAACTCCTCGGTGGCGAAGCGCTGGTATCGGTCGTACTCCTCGCGCGAGAGCAGCTTAAAGTGATGGATTTCCTCGATGAAGGAATGCTCACAGCCTGCCGGACAGGGCAGCGTATAGCCAAAGTCCGGATGCGGCATAAACTGGCGCTCGCTGAGACGCGAACGACAATAGTCACGAAAGCAATCGATGCAGGTGACGTGCTGCGAGGCGCAGGGAAAGACCAGAACCGTTTCGCTACAAAGAGATATGGCGTAAAAATATGCAGCTTGAAGTTGCTGATGCGCTCACCTGACCTCCGTGCAGGCCAGACAAGGCACATCTTTGATATTGTTCTTGATTAGATTTAAAGGCGCCGCGAAGTCCTTTTCGCCGCCCGAGACATGCTCCGCACACTTGAAGTAGAACTCGGCAAATGGCGGATCGCCCGCCTCGTTGTCCACACAGGCGATTTCGAGACTCTCGCAATGGCCACGTATGCGTCGCGACTTGAGCACATCGTCCCAGCACTCGGGATCGCGATGGACGGTGAAGGCGCCGCCCTTGCAGAGTGCACACCTCACACGCAGCTTGCCCTTGCACAGCTTGTTGCACTGCCCGCAGTGGACGAAGAAATGCGCCTTGGCACGAGCACGTTCTGCGAAGGTGCCCGATAGATAAACAATGTCACGTTAATCTCCACCAGTTGCTCACCCTCGTCGGTGATATTAAGACGCTCCTCGCTCTCCAGCTGCAGGTCGAGCAGCGTTTCGTTTAGCGGCTTGGACGGCTCTTCCGGACTAGACTCTTCTTCCAACAACGTGCTAGCTTTGCGTTCCCGCTCTCGCTGCACAGGCGGACGCAGACGGATGGCGTGCAGCACACTCTGCTGGCCAAGATCGCATTCCTAATTGAGCACAGAATCAACTATTATGATGCGCTAGAATTCTTGTGCGTACTACGTGGTTACCTCGATGGTGGTCGCATCGCTCAGCTCCTTGCCCGCAAATATGATCTTCACCTCCTCCGGCTGGAGTCCCAGTTGTGGCGCAACCAGCTCCTTAACGTTTTTAATATCCCACTGCGGCTCCAAGTTGACGGAGAGTGTGCGACCCGTATTTGTTTTCACGTAAATGCTCAGCGTGTGCGTTAATTTGCCTCCAATTTGTAACAGCTCCAGCATTTTGCGTACAAAAGCAGCAATAAAATTGAAAATAAAACTCATTTAAAACCAGAAGAGATAAAATAACATTATCTAAATTGCACTATTCAATTTTGTAATCAATCACGGGTACTTTTCGGTATCTTGTCACACCACCTATGATTAAATAGTGACAGTAGCATATGCGGAGCCACAATTCGTGCTTCGTATCAAGACGTTATTCAAATTTAATATTAATGCATCATTTATTTAAATAAATATCAGTTGCACTTTCTTTATAACTTCTGCTGTGATGTATTTTAACATTTACAGTCACTGTTATTCAAATGTAACAGTTAGCAGCTGTTTCACTGCTTTTGTCACATTGCAGCACTTACTCATTATACAACACTGAAGCAGTCAGCTGTTGTCTTGTCCTGCCATTCGCTTGTCAACATCAGCGCGTACTTTAGCGCGGCAATATTGGAAATAGAAATTCTATATATTTATTTGTTTTGTGCTAGAGCTGAGTGTAAATATGACAGATTTCAAGATCAAAGAAGTCAGTGGTGACTTATTTTCGGCTGGTCCAGAGTATGCCATGTGCCACTGCGTGGCCGCCGATTTGCGAATGGGCAAAGGCATTGCCGTTATGTTTCGGTAAGCGCTTTCAGTAGCTTCTTCGCAGCTAACGGAACTCGACCTTTTTTATTATTAGCAATAAATTTGGCCAACTTGCCGCATTGCAAAAGCAAAACGTGGAGCCCGGCGGCGTGGCCGTGCTGGAGCATCAGGGACGCTACATTTACAACCTCATTACCAAGCAGAACAGTTGGGGCAAACCCACCTACCAGCTGCTGCACAGCTCGCTGAGCGCCATGCAACAGCATATGGCAAGTAAATCCCTTCATTCCGGATAGGCAACTATTTTAATACCCTACGCATTTCCAAGCAGCTCGAACACAATGTGCGCAAATTGGCGCTGCCACGGATTGGCTGCGGCTTGGATGGACTCCATTGGGCCAAAGTAAAAGACATGCTAGCCGAGATATTCCGCGCAGACGCTACCGAACTGGTTGTATATAATTATGTGCCAGGTGCAGCAAAAAATTAAATAAATAGAAACAGTTGCAAAAATTGTTGACCTCTTTCGAGTTACTGTGCCTGCTGTGGCGGCACATAGTTGTAGACTGTAATCTCCACATCCTCCCTTTGAAAGACCTCGGTCAATACGGCACTGACCTTATCCCACTCCAGGCCATCGATGCCGCAGCCTATGCGTGGTATTGCCAGCTTATGGATGTCATTCTTGACCTGCAACAAGATCGGGTTTCATATCATAAACGTAGATCATGGGGAGACTTCAGCTTACCATGTGATCGCGCATCTTTTCCAGCGATGACTGCAGCGATTCGTATGTGGGCAGTGCCCAGCTCTGTGACTTGGTCACCAGATAGTAGATGTAACGTTCGTCATCCTTCAGCACGGCCATCTCACCGCTGCGCGCCTTCTGTGCCTCCAGCTGATCCACTTTGCCATAAACCTCCTTGAATTTAACAGCTATGCCCGCGCCCATGGCCAGATCGGCGCCAACGCAATGGGCCAGCGAGTGGGTCTTCGGTGCCGAGAACAGATCTCCGTTGATCTCTTGCAGCTGAAAGCCGGTCATCTTGTGGACAAACGCACGGCGAAAAGCGACACGCAAATCTGTAAGTTTTGGAGAGTACATTTTAAGTTTGAATACAGACTCAACTATCACAGATATCTATACTAGGTACATCTATGCTCAAAACCAAGTTTCGTTTATTGCCAGCCAGCAGGCGGTGTCTTTTATTTGTTGTACAATAAATACATATGTCATTTTCTTGTGCTCTCAACTAACCAAAACTCCTAACAACTATATAAGTAACGGTGCATTTGGTGCCTAAAAAGAAAAACCCCATGCAAACCCATTTCGAATGTTATAAATTAACAACTATTTATATATACAAAAAGATGCCTCATCATCTTAGAAGGGCGTCTTCTCTCTGTGCAGGGACTGTCGCGAGGAGCTGACGCTGCGCGGCAGCTGCATGAGCTTCATGTGATGACAGGTGGGGCACATGACCTTTATGGTGTCCCTATCCATGCTGGGCGGCTCGTAGAAGAAGGCAATTATGTCCACGCTGTCGCTGACGAACACCAGCTCCAGCAAGCTGCGCACGCGCAGCCAGTCCAAACGATCGATTCCACAGCCCAGACGTGGTATGGCCAACTTGGTGACGCTGTGCTCACGCTGGCGGGGAGGAGGCAAGAGGATTGGTTTAGTTATTTCCGAATGAGAATGCGACTCGATGGAAGGACTCACCATGTGATCGCGCATGGCCAGCAGTGCGTAGTAGAGCGCCGTGTAGGTGCACTTCTCGTGGGCACGCTCCTTGGTCACCAGATTGTATATGAAGCGTCCGCCCTGCTCCAGCACAGCCACGTTGCCCGTGTGCCGCTGCTGCCGCTTCAGCTCGTCCACCTGCCCGAACTTGCAGCGAAACTGCAAATTGATGCCCGCGCACATGGCGAAATCGGCGCTTACGGAATGGACCAGTGCAAAGTTTTCCGGTGCGCTAAACAGATTGCCCTTGGCCTCGGTAATCTGACACTTGGGCGCAGCCAGCTGCGAATGGAGAGTGCAGAGAGTTAACAACAAAAGCTGCCACATGCCCCTTTGGCTGGCTCACCTCTCTGGAGACGTCGTCATGCTCACAAACGAGTATCTCAATGGGATACTCGTTGTGCGCGAATATCTGCTGCATAATGCGCTTCACTTGCTTCCAGTGGAGGCCATCGTTGCCACAGCAGATCCGTGGCATGGCCACTTTGGTGATTTCATGATTCCGCTGCAATTGGAATTTGATCAAATGGAATCTGATTAATTAACACAAGCGAGTGTATATACCAGTATATATATATATATATATATATATATATATATATATGCGTGTGGTGCAAACAAATTAACTGTTAATTAACGACAAACTAGACAAATCTGTTCTCAATATGCGACTGCTTAAATACCCTAACCAGAAGAGGTGAGAGCTTAAGCAAAGAAATTATATATACATATGTCTCTTCCCCTGTCTAGACTTTATATATCCCTAGCTCTGTCTCTCTCTCTCTCTCCCTTTCTGTCTTAAAGGGAAGAATGATGATCTCAATAGGCGACTATTTCTATACCCTTACCAGAAGAGGCGAGAGGTTTTGCTCCCTCTTTCCCTCTTTCTAAACTGCAAATATTCCTTCCTCTCTCTCCTATGTCTCTCTCTCTCTCGCTCTTAAGGGGGAGAATCTCAATATGCGACTGATTTTATACCCTAACCAGAAAACGAGAGCTTTTGCAAAGATATTGTACTTACATATTTATTCCTGTTTATACACTTCCTTCCCCTATGCGAATCTCTCTCTAACAAACATAGTCTGCATATGCGACAGCTTATATACCCTAACCAAAAGAGTTTTTCGCATAGAAAATATACATATATTCTCGCTCTTCCTGCAAAAGTGTATATCACTTCTTTCTTTACATATACTAATAAACATATTTTTCATATGTGAGAGTTCACTATCTCTCTCTCTCTCTCTCTCTCTCCCCCGTTATATCTGTCTTCTCTCTTCACATATAAATTTGTGTTTTCCTCTACATATATTTGTATCGCTCTCTTTCTCCCAAAATGTATATCTATCTCCCTTTCTCTCTGCATATATATTTGCATTTCTCTCTCCCTCTCCCTCTCTCCCCATCTCTTCATATTATATCCCTATATCAAATCAAATCTCAGCTGTAACTCGAATCTCGAATTCCCCTCCCCTGCCCCTTCGCTTACCATATGCTCCCTCATGCAAATCAAGGCCGCCTGGACATCATCGTATGTGGCGGCCGCATAGTGATTCGCCTTGGTGACCAGATGGTAAACGAATCTCGAATTGTGCTCCAAAACGACGCAATTGCCGCTGCTGACGCGCCGCCGCCGCAGATCGTCGACGTCGCCAAAGATGAGGGCGAACTGCCAGGCGAGGGTGCCGCGGAGTGCAGCGAAAGATGACTCAACGGCGTGCGCCAGTGCATAGTGCTGTGGGGCTTGGAACAGATCCAGTTTCGATTCGACGATTTTCACGTTCGTGTTGGCCATTTTTTCTAGCTGTTGTTGTTGTTGTTGTTAACTGCAATTATGTGAAATTATTTGCGGGCTGCCTTCAACTGAATTGATTTTTGGTACTCACGCAGTGCGGAAACTTTCACGAGGCCAAACCAAACCAACGAACAAAAAACTAAATACAAAATCACAAATGAAAACTTTTTTGTTGCCAAAGCTGAGGAACACGACCAGAAGAAGAACCAATGAACAATAAGAAAGCAATTAGCGTTTTTGGCTGCGTCGACTTCGCGTTGGGTTATGTTCGGTTAGCAGACAGTTAGCAAAAGTTAGTAGCTTGTTTTAGCTCTGTTTATGGCTTGTACGCCCGTCAGCCCGCCCGAATTATCAATATACACGCACAGCTGCGACTGTTTCGGCTGGCGTTCTGCAGCGGAATGGAATGCGCCCGAGCGAAATCAACAACTCAAAAGCAGCCCAAGCACAAGCCCAGAGCCACGTCCAGAGTCGGCCCCAATTGGGGCTTTTGGATGACAACTCTGACTCAGCAGTTGTTGTTGTTGTTGTTGTTGTTCTATAATATGCCATCATGTTGCTGATGATGACATATGATTACACACAAACAAACACACACACACGCTTTTCTGTCTGTGTGTGTGTGCGTGTTTGTTATCGTTTGTTTGTTTTGTTAGAATTCGCTGTTAATTTATTGTTTTTGTCTTTTTTTTTTTTGGGTCGAAGCTCGCATTTGCCCAAAACTTGAGCTCGTCAAGATCGTGTCGAGATCTTGGCCCTATGGCCCCATCGAGCTGCTCAGCAGATAACCATATCGATAGCCTGGCACCTGGCACCTGGCGGCGTAGGCGACGCCACAACGGTAATCGCTGGCATGTGCAGGGGCAGTCGAGCGAGCAATAAAAAAAGTCAGAAAACAAACAAAAAACGGCTCGCATCACTTGAGCTGACCGTTCACATTTGATGTTGTTTGCGTACGCAAATAGTAATGTGACTTAAATTATAATAATTTTTGCGCATAGCAGGTGAAAACAAATATTAACACACACACAGACACACATCGCATACAAATTACCATATTAAGTTGGGCCAACAACAAAAATAACAATGAAACGAGCTTTTTCTTTTGAAAGTTTTCAGTTTTGTCAATTGGCGCCAAAATGTTGTGTGCTGTGTGGTGCGTGTCTTGGCTAAGCGTGCGTTTTGCAGCACTGCGCGCCTAATATAAACAAACATTATTAGCTTCGCACAAAAACAGTTAACATAACTGCGCTATAAACTACTATTGCATTTAAGTGTTAGTTTTTGTATAAATTAGTATTAATTATTAACCAGTGTCCAATGTGCAAGTAAATATTTGGTTATGCCAAGGTCAAATTAGGCTACTCTTTCTTTTTCTCTCTCTCTCTCTCTATCTTTCTCTCTCGTTCGCTTGCACGCATTTCTACGCATGGCGCGAGCAATTGTATATAAATTTAAATTTCACTTTTCATCAATTGAACTAATCGCCGACGCTTGGGGCACCTTGTGGAAAAGCGATAGCATCTACGATGCCGACAACGACAACGACGACGACGACGTCGTCAACGTCTCCAACTCAGTTCATGGCAGTTCAACTTGGCGCTCCGACGGAACACAACGAACACGAGAGGCGATTGGCTTCAACATAAATAAAATCTATTCGCATTTTGCCTGTGATTTCTTGTTGTAAACTTGCACATTGTTGTTGTTGTTGTATTTGTTGCTGTTATTATATAAATAGTTTCTTGCGTGTAGATATCAACCTAATATTTAGCTATATACTATTGTGTATTAACAGTTATACTTTACGTAGTATTTGTGTAGTTAGTTGTTGTGCTTGTCGGCGCGCAAAGAACATTCGTATTTAATACTTTGTTTGGGCAATTGGCTCAAATCTCCCAACAAAGAAGAATCGAGGAAAACACAAATCACAACTTGGAAGCGCGCTTAACAAACAGTTAAAACGTTCTGAAACAGACGCTGCTAAGAGAATAACTAAAAAGTGCAAGGCAAAAGGCAAACAACTTGAGAGCAACAGCAGAAGCCGCAGCAGCCGCCGCAGCAACAGCCGCAGCAGCAGAGACGGCAGCGTCGACGTCGACGTCAGCTGTTTTGGTTATTGTGCGGCCCCCCTTACCCGCGTGCGTTACGTAGCCGCTGATTTGATCTCCTTGTTGTTGTTGTCTTACGTGTTTTCTTTTTACGTTGCCTTAACTAGTTTCTGTTTTGGGTATTTGTTCTTGTTGTTGTGTATTTGTGTATTCGTGTTGTTGTTGTTTGTTTTTAGCACTTTAGAACTTTTTGCCATATTCGCCGCAATGACATCGTTGACATTGTGCTGCTCGCGTCGTGCGGTCGCTGCCAACGCCTACGTCAACGCCAATTGGCGGTTTATTCAAACACTTCAAAGGCGCCAACAACAACAATTACAATTACAACAGCAATGTAGGCGTTTGAGCGCAGCTGCAACAACAACAGCGCCAAAAACCAATGCAAATAACAGCGGTAAGCGGCGACTTTATTATGCTAATTACGCGTGCAATTGTTTATTATCTATGCGTTATGATTTATATGCCTATCTCTGGCTTCCTTCTCTTCAACCACTGACAGCGACTTGGCAACTCTGTTTGGCATTTCGAAAGCTGTCAGCTGTTTTTTATAGCCTCGCAACGAATCTTACGTATTTCAACTTATATGTACGTACATATATAATTGTTTAATGCCACCCACGCGCGGTCTACAAAATTTTGCATATTAGTCACATATGTATAGATTTATAATTAAAACAAATATTTTTATTGTTTTTGGCAAATCAGCTGCCGAATCCGCAAAACGCAACAAGTGGCAGCTGTTTACACATAAAAACATTTTTAATTTTCTAATAAAAAAAGGGGGCGTGCTTTTAATTAGTAAAACGTTGTTTCTGCGCTGACTTGTATCGAAATTAATTTGGTGATAACTCTTAATAGTTGAGCGTTGTTGTCTAGAGGGGAATTATTTGTGATAAGTAATATTTTTTTGTCAGGGCTGCAAAAAAATTGTGTGTGGTTCGGCTTACGGCTCGAACCGGTTCCCCGACTTAGTTCGGTTCGTGAAGCTGGTTTTTCACATCTTTGAACCCTGGTTTTGATTTTAACTTTAGTTTTTAAACATTTTAATAAGACAATTTAATTTATTACAAATAATTTACAACTGCCCGTTGTACTGAAAATATTACAAACCGTAAATATTTTCATATACAAAATGCGGGCTATATTTTAGCGGGTGTACGAAAAATATATATAGTTCTTTCATATAGCATAATGAAGTTTGTGATTGTTGGGTTTGTTTAAGCAACATCTATTTTTCGAACTATGAAATTGTTATTCAATACAATGGGAGAGATTTCAGATAAGTATTGTCAAAATAGATTTAAAACTGAAAGACCAAAAACTTGTTAACTAAACTCTTGATTCTGATCGAGAACATATGCATAATTATCATAGAAATTAACAAACTTAAGATATCTAGTCATTCATTTAGCTTAGGTTAAATTAATGATGATTGGGTTCTGTTAATTTCTTGACTAAACTAGAGAGAAAAAAAAAACACTTGAAGCACTTATCGAGCTGGGAAAACCCATTTTACCAAATGAAATGTATAAATAAATGAATATATAAATTACAGACATACAAGTTAAAAAAGTCAAACGGGTTTCGGATACTCGAATCGTTTATTTATTGCGGCGTCGTTGGGTCTTGTGTTCGGTTCCCAGTCATTGCTCCAATTCGAAGCATTACTAATGACAATTTGATTGCCTAATTGAAAGCGCATTAAACACTCGCAACACTTTTGTGCGGTGCTCCAAAACCCGTTCAGCTACAATTAACATCCGATCAATTTCCTAAACAAATCGAAACAGGCGCTGACAAATGGGGTACAGCAATACCCATTAATATTTATTTATATGTGTATTTATTTTTTTTTTATTTATACTCTAAAAAATGTCGTTTATTTATTCAAAATTCCAAGTGCAGCATTTGTAATCTTTGATGCCATCAAATTAAGCAGCGGCATCTGAATGAAAATCAGTGTTGCAAAACACTTGAATACCTAGCCATGGCGACGATAAGGAGGCCCCTTAACATCAGGCTGATTAGATTAGGTTTGTAAGGTTATCGGCGTTATACATATACATATATGTTGCCAGTTGCTTTACTTCTTCGTATTTATATGACATCGAACAAATTTCGCTTTCATTGTCTGAGGCTTATCTTTGCAAGTGGGCGTGGCACTTGTAAAGAGCTTAACAACACTTGAACCCATGGAGAGGAGTGGAAAAAGTAAATAATCCGCGGTAAACAAAACTGTTGTCGTACATTTCCGTAATTATAGCCACACAATTAATCAATGGACGGGCGTTGGGCACAACCCATCCATCCATCAGTCCAACGCAGTCCAACAGCTCATAATTAATTCATCCATGAGCTGAAGCGAGTGAAGCGTGGGCTCCATTCAGCTGGATATCAATTGAAGTTCAAGGTCATTAACGACAAACGCTCGAGAAACATATTCAGCTCGCGCGTCCCACACACGCATCGGACTCGAAAATTCAAAATAAAACTGGAAATCGAAATCAGCTACGACTACACTCGCACACATAAGTCTACATACATACAGACATAGGAATTATAAATTTAACTACATATACATATGCATATGTATTTAGACGTGCTGCGAGCCCCCTTTGGCGTAGACAAGTAGTAGGGGGTAAATAATTAGTCGGCTGGCCGACTAGTCAATACTCTTTCAAACTATTAGTGCTGTGTGTGGGTAGTGTTCTCTCGACTTATCTGATATATAAATGTATATACCGAATTTATATAAATATACGTACTGATATGCATAAGTCAGATAGGTCGAGATATCACCACCTTTTACATATCTAAATACATATATGTATGTATATAAATTACATATCGAAAGATATATATTTATATATATGTATATATCGTTTTAAGGCTTGGCTGATTTTTTCAATTTTCTTTTTATATTTTATATTTCATATTAAAAAAACTGCTTTATTTTACTATTATTTTATTTGCTTTCAACAATATTTTCGAATTATTTCTTTTCAACAATATTTTCGAATACACATAAGTTTCCTATTTAAATAGTGTTTAGTTTTAGATTAAAATGTGGCTGTTTTTTTAGTAATAGCTCGTTTCAATTTCTGTTTCATGTTACAAAGAAAGTATTACTCCCATCTGATCTGGGCAGACAAAATCTTTGCTCAGATAATTTTTGCTATTGCTTAGGTTAACTCTGAGAGCGATTTTTAAGTGACATAAGAAAAAGCTAGTCTTTTTTTACTACTCATATACAGTCTATCAATGTGTTACACATTATGTGACAAAACTCTCTAACCCATTTCCAGTTTAAAAAAAATACAAAAACAATTTAATTAAACACGTCGCACCGCGTCGTATCCCGGACTGAACCATTGGCATACAATATAAATCGACGTACACACACACACACACACACACACACATATATATATATATATATATTGGCTGACTGAATGGGCTGATAAGTATTTCTAAGCACGCTCCCGCTCTGCCTCTCTTTCCCTCTCCCTCTCTCTCTCCCTCTCTCTCACTCATGCAAATATGATATGAGGAATTTCGGGCTTTGCAAAAAAAAAACAAAAACAAATAGAGTCTACAATAAACATTGCTGCCACCCCCTCTCCCTCCCCCTCTCGCGCTCGCTCTCCCTCTCTCTTTCTGCTGTTTCTAACTGAAGTGGGTTCTCTAGAGATCTAGCGCTATGTGTTGGTGAGAATTTGCTAGATTAATTGGACTTATGCCACCTAGGGCAGCTCCAGGCAGAAACAGTCACATAGTCGCCGCGTAACTGGCCGCACATAGGAACTCCTTCGACTTGTAACTGGGGCAACTTTATTGTTATTTGATTTTTCTACTGGTTTTTATAGAACTTGGCATCTTATCGCGAAGCATGTCGTCGAGCTCGTGTCCCAATCTGGTCGCTGTTGAGGAGTCGCGCCGCTTCATGATCGACTGCTTCAAGGCCGTGAAGGTGCCGGAGGCGCATGCGCGTGCCCAGGCCGATCTTCTGGTGGCGGCCGATTATCGTGGCCACTTTAGCCACGGCATGAATCGTCTCGAGATGTATATCAATGACCTGGCCATTAATTCGACAAACGGCGCGGCCGATCCGAAGGTGCTGAAGGAAACCCCGGCAACGGCCTGGGTGGATGGCTGCAATGGCCTGGGCGCTGTCGTTGGCAATTTCTGCATGGATTTGGCCATCAAGAAGGCCAAAACCGTGGGCGTTGGCTGGGTCTGTAGCCGGGGCTCCAATCATTACGGCATGGCCGGCTGGTATGCCTTGAGAGCGATGGAAAACGGTCTGGTGGGCATGTCCATGACAAACACATCGCCATTGATGGCGCCCACCGGCGCCAAGGAGTCGGCGCTGGGCACCAATCCGCTCTCGCTGGGCGCCCCAGCTGGCGACAGCGATCACTTTCTGCTGGACATGGCCACCACCGCGGTGGCTGTGGGGAAAATCGAGATCCAGAATCGGAAGGGCGCACCGCTGCCCGACGGCTGGGCCCAGGATCCCGATGGCAAGGTGACCAACGATGCCCAATTGGCATTTGCCACCGGCTGCCTGCTGCCGCTCGGAGGCACCGAGCTAACCTCCGGCTACAAGGGCTACGGCCTGGGCGCCATGGTCGACATATTGTCGGGCGTCATGTCCGGCGCCAAGTACTCGACGCAGGTGCGCAAATGGACGCACACGGGCGCCAACACAGCCGCCGATTTGGGACAGCTTTTCGTTGCCATCGATCCCAATTGCTTTGCGCCCGATTTCGAGGAGCGCATGCAAGACTTTAACTCGCGTCTGCGAGGCGCCAAGCCGGTAAGTCTGACCAGCGCTGCTTGGTGGAGGACAGCTCCCGGCTAACATTCTCATCTCTTCTCCCCCATCCCCATAGACCGATCCCAAGAAGCCCGTGCTGCTGGCCGGCGACAAGGAGACGAAGAACATGAAGGCCGTCGACGATGCCGGCGGCATCCAGTATCTGGAGAACCAGCTGAAGACCTGCGCGTCCCTGGCCGAGAGGCTCAAGATCAAGCCGCTGAGCTTCAAGTGAGAAGGAGACGGAATCATATCTAGAAAAACGAACACATATGCCATAAACTAAAGCTGCTTTTGCATTTTTCTTGACCAAAGGATTTGATTAGTGCCTAAGTCGAGAACAGTTAACGTTTACAGACTATACTAGACTCTTTGATATATACAAATATATATATTATGATATTATATTCTGCAGAGCTAATAAAAATAGACTTGAATTATGTTTGTTATTTATGATATATATTTTTTTATATTAGATAATGTAGTTATTCAAAGCTGAAAAGTGACTTAACTAGACTTTTGAATTACATTTCCACTCTTATTTCACTTGACAAATATTCACTCGTTTAGTTTCTTTTGTATTTCTCTAGATTCAATTTGAGAACAGTTAACGATACACACTCCCGACTCTTTGATAATATATATTATAATATTGGGTTACTTAGGGCTAATAAATAGCTGTTGGCTTGACTTTTGAATTACATTTCACTCTTATTTCACGGTAAGATTATTCAAACGTCAATAACCTTTAGATTTGATTAGTGCTTAAATTGAGAACAGTTAACGATATATTCTGTAGACTCTTCGATAATATGTATTATGGTATTGACATTTCCACTCTTATTTCACTTGACAAATATTCACTCGTTTAGTTGCTTTTGCATTTCTCTAGATTCCATTTGAGAACAGTTAAAGATATACACTCCCGACTCTTTGATATTTTATAATGCTATATTATAATATTGGGTTACTTAGGGCTAATAAATAGCTGTTAGCTTGACTTTTGAATTACATTTCCACTCTTATTTCACGGTAAGATTATTCAAACGTCAATAACCTTTACATTTGATTAGTGCTTAAATTGAGAACAGTTAACGATATATTCTGTAGACTCTTTGATAATATGTATTATGGTATTGAGTTATTCAAGGCTAATATGACATTTCCACTCTTATTTCACTTGACAAATATTCACTCGTTCAGTTTCTTTTGTATTTCTCTAGATTCCATTTGAGAACAGTTAACGATATACACTCCCGACTCTTTGATATTTTATAATGATATATTATAATATTGGGTTACTTAGGGCTAATAAATAGCTGTTGGCTTGACTTTTGAATTACATTTCCACTCTTATTCCACGTTACACTCGTAATTCAATCGCCTTTAGATTCGATTGGTTCCTAAGTTGACAACAGTTAACGATAAGTTCTCTAGACTCTTTGATAATATATATTATGATATTGGGTTATTCAAGGCGAATGAATCGCTGTTAATTAGACTTGAATTACATTTCCACTCTTATTCCACGCAACGAACATTCACTCAGCTCGCTCAGCGAGCCTTTAGTCTAATCGTTCTTGTTTTTGGGCGGTTCAAGGTTACATTTGCTGCCGCACAGCATCTTAATGGTGTTCACCGCCTGCCTCTGGGCATCCTTGCCGGCAGTTGCCGATCCCTTGGCGACGCGCAGCTTGAAGAAGCGGCATTGGGTATCGAAGAGCAGCGGCACCTTCTCCAGGCAGGGCTTCACGTGCATGGCAGAGCGCAGCTCCTCGGCATTTTCGGTCTTGCTCATCGACTTGATGAAGTCGATGTGTCGCTGATTCTCCTCGGTTAGCTGGCGCTTCTCCTCCAGCAGCAGTATGTTCTGTGCCTGGGCCACGGCCTGTTGGCGCCAAAAGTTCTTCAGCCCGTTGCTGAGCATGACCAGATCCTCCTCGGTGAGATCGACGTGCTTCTTGATGTCCAGCGTTTGCAGCACAAACTGATCATCAACGGGGCCCACATCGATGGGCTCAATTATCTCGCCGCCCACCACGATCTTCTCGGACTCCGTTTGCAGCTTCCGGCACGTGATGGACAAGGCGAGCAGCAGCTCGCCGCTCTTCACGATCTTCTCGAATTTCTAGCAAGCAAGGCTGATGAAGGCGTATGTTTAGACTTTAGGGGAGGAGGAGGAACTGTACCTTGGTCAACTCGTAGCACTCGGTGCTGAGTATGCGCAGCTTCTCGTGCGTGGTTATGCGATCCGAGTGCATCCGATCCTCGATCTTCTTGCGCACATTCGAAAAGTACTCGAACTCGAGCCGCAGATCGTTGATGGTCCCACTGTTCTCCGTCTCGATGCGCAGCGACTCGTTCTGAATGTCGCTCAGCAGGCTGCCGTACTTGGCCTCCTCTATGTTCAGTTTCTTGCTCTCCTCGACAAACGCCTGCTGGCGCTCGGTCAGCGAACGGATGCGCTCGTACTTGTGGGCATCCAGCTCGGTGCTGTGCAGGGCATCCACGAATTCGTTGAGCTGGCGCTGCATTTCGTTCATTTTGGCGACGACCTGGTCGCGTATGTTGAAGCGACGCTCGATCTCCTGGTTAACTTTGTCGTCGCGCTGCTCCAAATAGATCTGATAGTCCTCCTTGAGCTGGTCGCGCGTGAACAGATTGGAGGCATGGATTATGTTCTCGCTATTCGAATGCATCGCCTCCACTTCCTCGGTGCGCAGATGCACCTCGTCGTAGAACTCCTTGAGCAGATCCTCCGCCTGCTGCTCGTACATGCGCTTATTGCCGTCCAGCATCGCCTGATAGCATTCGCCAATGTGATCGATCAGCTCCACGGTGCGTCCAAAGCTGCGCGCATGCTGCTCGTTCGTCTGGGCCATATCCTCGATCAGCATTTTGATGCTATCGTTCTTATTCTCCAATATGCGCTCGGCACGTTCGCCCCACGTGATTATCTCGTTGCGCAGCTCAACTATTTTGATCTGCTCAGCAATCGCGTTCCATTCCTCCATGCCGCGCAAATCCATGCGCTTGCCCAGCTCCAGCTCCGTCTCCAGATCATGCTGCGGCCAAACCGATTCGAATAATTAGAAATGTTCACTCTCTCTCTCTCTCTCTCTCAAGAGAGAGCGAGATAGAGCTCTACTTACGCGCATGACCAGCTTCTGATCGGCGATTTTCTGCAGGCGCCTTGCCTCTTTGCGCGCCGCCTTTTTCTGCGCCTTGGTCGGTTTGTGTGGCTTGGCCGCCTCCGCCGCTTCCTCGAGCGCATCTTCCAGATACGTTTCCGTAATACGCGTTATGCGTATTTCCGGCTGGACAATCGACATTTTGTTTTGAGTTTAAAAAATATTTTCTAATAATAAAAGTATTTCAATTGTTTCTCTCTCTCTCTCTCTCTCTCTGTCTCTGTTTGACTGTACCGAAAGCTTGCCTATGCCGGGCTGCAGGTGACAGGCAAGGCAAAGCTCACTGCGGGCCGTTACACATGTTCGACGTTTGCCAACACTGCCAAGCACGAACTGGAGCTGGGCGCCAAACGTAAAGCTCGCTCCCGCGCAGCATCTCCGGAGCAGCTGAGCCGCAACATTTGCGCCAGCCAAGTTAGTAGACGTCGAAAGCTGGCCAAGCGCGGTCGTTTCGTTAGCAGCAGCAGCAGCAAGGACTACAAGGACCATAAACAAGCCACTCTCTAACGGCACGTCGTTCCTTCTGTGTGTGTGCGCGCGCGTGTGTGTGTTTGTGTATGCGTGTTTTGCTTTTTTTTTCCCGGCTGCGCCTTGTAAACAAAAATAACTTTGCTTGTTGTGTCTGTGTGCCGCTGAGTGTGTGTGTGTGTGCGCGCTTGTGTGTGTTTGTGTGCGTCGCCCTGGTGGTGGCTAACAACCCCCAGCAACTACAAAGCTCGAGTGGCAAGGGCAGATCCAGCAAAGTTTTCGGGGTTGCAGACAGTTGGCAAACAAGCTGCGAATATACGTTTAAATACCCATAAATATAAAACGAATATAAATTTAAAAACAATATCCAAAAATATTGCGACGCAAAGATGAGCGATGCAGGCGCAACCGCACCCAATGGCTATCAGAAGCTGCCGCCCGGCTGGGACTGCAAATACGATCAGACGACGGGCAACTGGTAAGCAGCTAGCTAAAAAAAACCTCATAAATATTTATGCATGCAATGCAAAAAAAAAAATATAAGCAGCATACCGAGCGTTGAAATGTTGTTGCATGTCTGGGCAAGATGGAATGGCTGAGCGGGTGGGTGGGGGGTGTCGTTTTCTAACACTGTACAGTTTGCACTCCGAGTTTACAATGTAAGCGGCAAATTTTCGTTGCATGCTTTTAGGCGGCATTTATTAAAGCTACGCGAGTGAATGCCATGGCGGGTTGATTGCTTTGAGCTCGTTAAATGTATAGAGTCCTTAAATAGCACGACATTTTAAGAGGCGTATAGAACATTAGCGTTTAAATGTACAGCGTTTCTATAGCTAGCGCTTAAAAAGTTTTCTTTTTGCAAGCTCTGTTAAAAACTGGCTGCATAAAATTTCACAGCATGCTTTCAGGCGGCACCTTTAATTGTGCTATGCAAATGTGAAGTCATGAACTATATATGTATAGAGTCTTTAAATAGCACGACATTTTAAGAGGCGTATAGTACCTTAGCGTATAAATGTACAGCGTTTCTATAGCTAGCGCTTAAAAAGTTTACTTTTCGCAAGTTCAGTTAAAAACGGGCCTACAATTTCACAGCATACTTTCAGGCGGCAACTTTAATTGTGCTATGCAAATGTGGAGTCATGAATTGCTATTCATTATGCTAAAGACAACACTTGAGCACAAAGCAGCCGCCGGGGCAATTGGCCTAATTTTCCGCCCAAGCTCCATGTTTCCAGCAGCTACTTGTGTCTCCTTCAGATATGTTGCCCTGTGCAATTAAGCAGCGACTGTCATACGTTGGAATTGAAGTGGCCACTTGGCTGGAGACGAGACGCCACAGCAGCAATCACGGCCCACAGATTGGCTGTCAAATGTGAGCTGCCTTCTGCCTTTTGGCAGCTACTTGGCACGTGTCGCTGTTTAAGGGCACCCTTTACCTGAGCCCATTTCCCGAATGTGTGCCAAGAAAATCACCACCAGACGGACGGACAGACAAACGGCTCCAGAAATCAACCCCTTGCCACGGCCTGACTGTCATTTATTATGCAATTCCAGCTATTACATAAACTATCTGACCAAGGCCATGCAGCTGGAGGATCCGCGCACAGGACGCAACAGCTACAAGCAACTGCAGAACGAACGCTGCTCCACGGAGTCCATACCGCTGCAGGTGAGTCTCGGCTGTAGCCGTTATCAGCAAGAGGACTCTAATCAGCCGTCCATCCCTCCCATCCGTCCAGCACATGGCACAGAGCTCACATCACAGTTCACCCTATCACGTTGTCCATCCCAGCAATAATCTGACCGCTGTGCGTGCCTTCCAGGAGCGCGAACGCGGCCAGCAGCCCGCATTGCACAATCTATCGACCAGTCCGCTGCTCTCCGCATCCTCGCGCGCCCAACTGGTAGGTCGATATCCAGCTAAAGCTCGCAATTGTTGATGTGTTTTTTTTTTTGTTTCCAAATGATCTCTGGTTCGCAGGAAATGTCCTCGCCGCTGCCCCTTCAGCGCGGCCGCTTGCCCTCGAACATGTCGCGCCGCTCCACCATCCAGGAGACATCGTTCAGCCATCAGAGCGAGACCCAAGCAGCGGTGGTCACCAAGATACAGAACATGTTTCCCACCGCCGATGAGAATCACATACGCTTGCTACTGAAACGGTGAGAGATGCCTTACATTTTGTTTTCTCCAGTTGTTTATTTGAGCTCTTTAACCCCCTTTGGCTAATGCTCTGTAAATATGTATCTCTATCTTTTCACACACGCTGCCGCCGCTTGTTGCACCCACTCACCTGCTTACTAACCCACCCTTAACCCTCCCCCCCGCTACACAGCTACTATAATCGCGAGGCGGTCGTGATCAGCGCCTTGCAGGTGGAGAAGCATCCGGTTACGATGCCCGGTCCGTTTGTGACGCCGCCCGCCCAGCGGCATTTGTTCCACAGCAATTCCGCTTTCTATATGACACCACCGGCGCGTCGCCCGGACATGGGCGCTAGCCGGATAACCGTTACGTCGCGCACGGCCAGTCCCCTGCCCGGCGGCCGTTTCGGTAGTCTCATGAGCATGCAAAGCGGCCCCGGACAGAACATAGCCGCAGCAGCAGCAGCAGCCGGCATTATGCCGCCGCCCGCCCTGCACGGCTCGCCGCAGTGGCGCAGCTCGCCCAAGCCGCACTCGTCGCCCAAAATGAAATTGAGGTGCTTTTTGTTTATTCAGATCAAAGATCAGACTTGCCAGCCAATTAGCTAATGGAAATCGACAATTTTTATTTGGTCGTCGGTTATTTGTTGCCATTCGATGGGGCCTTTTGTGTTGGTCGGCCTTTTCTGTTAACATTTACAGTTATGTTATTGTCATCTGTTAAGCTTCATCTGTTAGCTGTTATGCTAAGGTGAAACTGTTAACGACAAGTCTATATATTTTCTTTATCAATCACATGTTAATTGACATGTTAATCGATTTTATTTAGTTACCGAATCAATTATTCCCTTTTCTTAAATTAAGTTTACATCTGTTTTGTTAACTTAACGTCATTCTTTTAACGTCACTCTGCTAACGTTATCTGTTAATTGACATGTTAATGGATTTTAATAATTTACCGATTCGCAAAATGTTGTTTATATTTTCATTTGTTAGTGTTAAACGTCACTCTGTTTATTTGAAATGTTAATTGACATGTTAATTTTACAGATTCTTAAATTTAGGGGTTTTTTTTTTGTTAAGTTAACATAAATCTGGTAACAACAATGGTAATTGATACGTCAATGGATTTTATTAATTTATTTTACTTCACTTTCTGTTCATCAAACCTTAATTCATTTGTTAAGGTGTTTTCTTATGTTCGTGCTCATATTTTCTGTTATGTTAACGTCACTCTGTTAACGTCACATGTTAATGGATTTTATTTCACTAACTAAGCAGATGTTTTCTTTTCAAAGCTCGGACTTTTGTATTTTGCAAGCTGGCTTCTCTTAAGCATAAAGCACTAAAGCTTGTTATTCGTGCAGCCTTTAAGTCCGGTTTTATTTGCCCCTAGATACATGAAGAACATATTCCCCAAGGCGGATGAAATGCTGCTGCTTGACATCCTGGCCAATGCGGACAACAATGTGCAGTTCGCCTCGGAGAAGCTGATCTCGCTGGGCTATGCGAAGCGCGACATGCAACAGCCGCACAGGCCCAACAATCGGCCGCCGCACCTGGACGGGGATCAGCTGAAGTCGGGCAACGAGCACGGCGTGCAGCACATACCGCTGCGACCCAAGGAGTACACCGCCGAGCAGAAGACAGACTGTGAGCGGCAGTTCTTGAGTTCCTTTCCAAATCGCTTACGCTTTCCTTTCCTTTACAGTGGAGGCGTTGTTCAAGCAGCGGTATCCACAGATAGCCGAGCGCATTATTTTGATGGCCCTGGAGTCGGTCAACTATGCGGAGGATCGGGCCACCCAAATACTGCAAATTGTGCAGGACGAGGACGAGCAGCGCAACCAGAAGCACGCCCTGGCCAAGTCCAGTGCAACGGACAGCGCTCTGACGCTGCCGGTGGACCAGGTGGATGCGGCTGCCACACACAGGTGCGTACGGACAGGTCAGGCCAGGTTGCAACTTAGTTGCTGTTGCGGCACACGCTCACCTCTTCGCCACGGTGCTCCTCTTCGCCTTTGCTGCTGTTGCTTTATCCGTTTTGTTAATCGATTGCCTATTTTCTCTGTAAAACTTTGTTGCTGCCTCACACACACACACACACACACACACACACACACTTGCTTAACTGCCCTCATTATCATCGCCTTTGAAGAGCAGCCGCTGCAGCAGCAAGACTCACAAGCTGCATCGCCATTTGCCATCCATCAATGTCATCACACCCACCGCGGCCACCACACAGATCATCCTCAGCCATTCGCCCACGCCGGAGCATGCCAACGAGTCGGAGCCGGAGCCGGAGCCGGAGCCGAAGGCAGCATCCTCAAACATTTCCGGGGCATCCACGCACTCATATGCCTCACCTGCACAGTCACCCTATGAGCGCCTGACCACCAAAAATATGCTCGCGCATTCCACTTGCGGCAACAACAACAACAACAACAATATCAGCAGCAACAACTACGGCAGCTATTCCTCGTATACGACATCCATGGGCTCCTCAACCGCCTCGGCCAGCTCCATAGCGAAGGCATTTGAAAGTCGCGCGCGCACCAAAACCGATTCACTGAAGTATGCCCGTTACCGTTACCGTTATCGTTAACAGTTAACCGTTATTTATGTACAGTTGCGCATGCTTTGAAAAGTCCGTTAGAGAGAACTTTGCTGCACGTTGTCAGCTTTTTCATTTCCTCTTTTTTTTTGTTTTTCTTTTGGGCATGCGAAACATTTTTCATTTACCTGGAAGTGCATATATGTGTCTATGTAAATCGGAGCGATTTTTTTTTTATAAAACTCCTTTTGTTTCTCGCAGACAGCGGCAGCACTCGGCGCAGCTGGACAATGCGCACAGTTTGGATGCCGGCGAGTTCCAGTCGCTCATCGCACGGATGGCCACGCTGGGACCCAATTCGCAGCTAGCCAAAGGCGCCGACGAGAAGCTGTTGCTGTAAGTTAAACCCACATTGTGCCGGGAATGAATATTTCATAAATTGCCAACACACGCAGCGCTGATTACGTCACCTGGAACGGTCCGAACACGACGCTCAGCCAAAAGCAGGCGGCACAAGGCGCCGATCCGGGCTTGCTGGCCGGCGAACGTGGCTATAAGCCGGCCGGAAGGAATGCGGACCTGTGCAAGGGCGCCAAAAAGGAGCTGGCCAAGGGCAGCATCTATGCGCAGGGCAAGAGCGCCAACATCAAATGCAACTAGGCAAAGGCAATAAAGGCAGCCAGATCAGCAGATCCTCAAGCGTGCCAAAACCCGGACTTCACTTTTTATATGTCGTCTAACAATTTGCTCTCAATGTGTTCCCGTATATATGCATATTCAAAAAGCACACACATATTCCATCCAAAATCCAATTATTTATTGTTTTTGTTTTTTGGTCGTACTTACAACTTTTCTATGAACAAACTTTGCAGCTTGAAATACATGAATATTTAAAACTAACTTATGCAGAGATTAAATGTAAGTTTTGGCTAAACTTCGTCCTCGTTAAGCAGCATGTTGGGAATGCCATCGGCAATGGGAAAGATGCGTCCCGTTTCGGGGCACTCCAGCTGACCCTCGAGCACATCGATTTCGAACAGCAAATGATGCAGTTTCTGCAGCAGCTGCTCATCCTCGGCTATGTTCTCCGGCTGGGCAGCGGGTATATCTTCGGCCAGTTCCGCCTGGTAAATAAATTAAGATGTTAGCATGGAATTTCTTTCTGGATATTAATATTGCGTTTTTCACTCACCACCTGGGCGGCGCCATAGACGGCTGACCAGTCCAGCTTGGGCAGCAGTCGTTCTATGAAGACCGGATTGAATTCGCTCTCGATCACATCCTTTTTGTTAATCTGGTTAAATGTTTTAAAAGTCAATGTCTTGAAACAATCAATAAAAGTTAAAGCGCAGCTTACCGTCAGCTTTAGTGGATAGCCAACCTTGACGCCCTTGATGGCCATTGAGGTTAGAAAATTATATGTGCTTAGTTTCATGGTGTATCCTTAGAATTATATATATTTAATAACAATACTATGTTTCATTTAAATAAAAACAAATGCGGTATGGGAAATGCACGTTTTCAGCATTCACTTGGCAGCGCGGGCGCAACAGCTGTTAATTTGCTGCCGTACGTTGGTCACACTGTCAAAAGTATCGATAGCCTGCTATCGCCGTTCACAACAGTTGAGCGATATGTTTAGTCGCTGCCTGCAAAATGATGTGACCAGTCGGCAGCACAACACAAGAGCAAGAGCAACAACTGCTGCAATTTTACGGGTTTCCAACGTTTATAAATGTAATTAAAGTGCAATTTGTGGTCGAAACATTGTTAAAGTATATAATAAACATTTGTAGTGCAGATATGGAGGACATTTTCCACTGGTGCCGCGAGGGCAACTCAATTCAAGTGCGCCTCTGGCTGGATGAGACCGAGCATGACATGAATTTGGGGTAAAGAAAAGTTGAAACGCCTTCAAATCACGACAAATTGTTGATAATACGCCCAAGACCAACTGGTTTATGTGTAAATATATATAATTGTGAGCGATTTGCTATATTTGAAGAACACATTGCCCATAAACCAATTGGGACGGAAAGTGTCGTCGCAGTGACGTCATGATTTATTCTTGTGTTGTTGTGTAAACAACCTGCACCCATACAAACGAAACTTATGCTTGCGTGCGTGCGTGTGTGTGTGTGCGTCACTCTCTCTCTCTCTCTCTCTCTCTCTCTCTCTCTCTCTCTCTCTCTCTCGCAGCGATGATCATGGCTTCAGCCCGTTGCACTGGGTCGCCAAGGAGGGGCATGCCAAGCTTGTGGAGACACTGCTGCAACGCGGCGCCCGCGTGAATGCCACCAACATGGGCGATGACATTCCCCTGCATCTGGCCGCCGCCCACGGGCATCGCGATGTTGTGCAAATGGTGAGTATTGCACATTTATTGATGTACATTGAAATACCCTACAAAATGTTTCACTTGCAGTTGCTGCGTGAACGCTCGGATGTGAATGCTGTGAATGAGCATGGCAACACACCGCTGCACTATGCCTGCTTCTGGGGCTACGACATGATATGCGAGGATCTGTTGAGCGCCGGCGCGTTGGTGAGCATTGCCAACAAGGATGGGCACACGCCCATCGACAAGGCCAAGCCCAGTCTGGGCAAGCGCATACAGGATCTGGCCGAGAAGAATGGCCAGGAGATGAAGGTCATCAGTTTCAAGGAGCAGGGCTGGCTGGGCATGAAAACGCGCTCACGAGACGCCACCTTGTCGCGCTTCAAGGGCATCAGCATGGGCGACTTGGACTTGCACACGAAGATTTCGGTGACGCCCTCCGGCGAAACGTGGCGCGGACGCTGGCAAAAGAACGATGTCATAGCCAAGGTATGTGGAATGCAGCTTATCAGCTTATCAAAATGTATTAACTGCTGTTTTGATTTGCCCGACAGATTCTTGTCGTGCGGCAGTGCACGTCGCGCATCTCGCGTGACTTTAACGAGGAGTTCCCCAAGCTGCGCATTTTCTCGCATCCCAACATTTTGCCCATCATTGGCGCCTGCAACTCGCCGCCCAATTTGGTGGTCATTAGTCAGGTACGTGTTGATTACTAGCCACCGCCTGGACTCCAATCTCAAATCTCTCAATCTCCATTTGCAGTTTATGCCACGCTCATCGCTGTTCAATCTGCTGCACGGCGCATCGGGCGTTGTGGTGGACACCAGCCAGGCCGTGAGGTTCGCCTTGGATATTGCACGCGGCATGGCCTATTTGCACTCGCTGGAACGGATTATACCCACATATCATCTGAATAGTCATCATGTCATGATCGACGATGATCTGACGGCGCGCATTAATATGGGCGATGCCAAGTTTTCGTTCCAGGAGAAGGGTCGCATCTATCAGCCCGCATGGATGTCGCCCGAGGCGCTGCAGCGAAAGCCAGCCGATCGCAACTGGGAGGCGTCCGATATGTGGAGCTTTGCAGTCATCATCTGGGAGCTGACCACACGTGAGGTGCCCTTCGCCGAATGGTCGCCCATGGAGTGCGGCATGAAGATTGCGCTCGAGGGACTGCGCGTCAAAATACCACCCGGCACCTCGTCGCACATGGCCAAGCTCATATCGATATGCATGAACGAGGATCCCGGCAAGCGGCCCAAATTCGATATGGTTGTGCCCATACTGGAGAAGATGAACTCCAGCGCAGTCAAAAATTAGTCAAAATCGAAATTTTACAAAGCCAATATGTGCCTGTTTACAAAAAGTGTGTAGCTAACAACGAAACGGAAAACGTTGAAAAGTGGAGCGAAAGGATGTGCTCGTAGGATGTGTTTTGCCAACTAATTATACTATACTTTGTGTTTATTTACTGAGACTTAACCGAATCTAACCGACACCGCAAGTGCCTAAAATCTGCAGTATATTTACGCCATTTTGAAAATTTCGACAGGTAAAGCTTTTAAGTTTACATTTTTCTACTCTCTCCCTCTCCTCTCTTTCTTTCTCACTGTGTAGTCTTTATGTTTCCTGTCCTGTTCATGTTTTGTTCTTATGAATTTTGACAATGTTTAGACGGTGCTCGATTTTGTATTTGTTTTAGGTTGAAATATACATACATTAACAGTTAAGCTTTTAAAGTACGTATTTATACAGCATATATATTTGTTACTAATGATTAAACGAAATTTGTGTACCTATAAACAAAATTGGAATTCGTTGTATGCTGTGCCAAGCATTCTATGGGCAAGCTCTCTGCAGCTTTTACCGCTAAAAAGCAAAACAACGAAAGCTGCCTTCGCGTGTGTGTGTATGTGTGTGCGTGAGTGTGTGTGTGTGTTTGTGTGTGGTGGTGGGTAGTCAGCGTGAGCAAAACGGCCCTGACCTGATTTCTATTATGTGCACGCCATGCTGCAGCGCGTGGGCAGAGCAGCAGCAGAGTAATGCAGCGAGAGAGATAAAACGAGAGAGAGAGAGAGAGAGCCGGCGTAAGCGCGCAGCTGTGAGAATGTAAACTTTTCCGAATTATGCACATGTGCGTGCATTTATAAAATATTACATTTGAATATTTAAATTAATAATGAAATGAATCAATACCAATTTAAAATATGACCACACTTTTTTCTTAGTGCAGCAATTTCTACTGTGCGAGGTTGTAATTTGCCGCTCTCTCTTTCTCTCACTCTCTCTCTCTCTCTCTTCGCCTTGTCGGCTTGACTACGGCTCTCTGTTTATGTTTTTGCGGCACCGTTATATATTTGCAGCTGCTGCTGACGCTGCCGTAGCGGCTGCTGTTGCTGTTGTTGTTGCGGCGAGCTTAAACCATGTGATTGTTTTGCTGGCTCGCTCTTCGTTCAACGGCATATCCTGTGCCTGTGCATTGGCCTGTGTGCATGTGTGTGTGTGTGTGTGTGCCGCTGCAGCTTTAAAAACTTTTGCTGCATTTTGTTGTCGTCGTCATCATCGTTGCCGTCGCAGTCGCTGTCGCTGTCGTCGTGCTTTTCGGCCCAGAGGCTGGTCGCTCGGTCTCCAAACGGCAGCAACGGGCAACGCTGCAGTGTCCAAAAGCCGATTTACAGTTTTATATGCCAGTTATGAGTGCAACCAACAAACAGCGCCGCATTTCCGCAATGGCGAATCCCTCGCATGGACAAAGTGTGCTGTAAAACGAGTGAATTTGCAATATTTCAACTAGCCCATAATTCAAATAGGAAAAGGGAAAAGTAAAGAATAAATAAAAAAAAAAGCTAACGGATGTGTCAAGCTATCCAGAAAAATACCAAAAAACAATTCGCTTGAGAAAATTGAAATCGCCGCAGTGAAAGTGCAAGGAAAAAATTGCATGGCATCTTTTAGGCGCAGAGCATAAAAGTTTCCGGCCGACAATTGGATCTTTGTGTTTATTTTTTCGGTTTTGTTGTTGTTGTTGTTGTGTTTGGACCCCTCGGCGCACAGACAGCAGCTGTTTAAATGTATTTTAGTGCTTGCAACCAACAGCGGCCAGCCCCCTTGAGGGCCGGCAATCCATGGAGTATTCAAACTCAAAGTGTTTGAATCATAACGAGCCACAACAACAACAACAGCAGCAGCAACACGAGCCACAAGCCAGGCAAGTGTTTAAATATATATATACTACTTATGTATGTTAGTGTGTGCCCTCATTTTTATGGCCACACCTGAGCCTTTTTTTTTTTTTTTAATTAACAAAACAATTGCCCAGGCACGAACGCGGCAGCAGTCACGAGCCTTTTGTGTCGCGCTTTGTGTTCACATAATTTCAAAGTTTTCAGCATCCAGGAGCTGCTGCCGCTGCTCCCGCTGCAGTTGCTCCACATCATTCATTTGGCGAGTGACGAGTGAGCCACTAACCTACTTCCTGCCCCGTCGCCGCACACAAAAGCCGCAGCGCAACTAACGCTCTGTGGCTATTGTTGTTGCAGCTGTCGTTGCCGTAGCCGCTGCTGCTGCTGCTGCTGCTTTGTTTGCCGGCACGCCACGCCCACGCCTAGCTGGGTGTTGATGTGTTGATGACATGGACCAAGTGGCAGCAGGAGACGACGACGACGACGACGACGACGCATCAAATAAACGATGCCAGGCCGCATAATAAATGATGAGATTTTTGCCCAGCTCGATTCTATGGCCTGCGCCTTTGGCCCTTACCCGGGCCTATGCATAAATCAAAAGTTCAATTTTGCACATTTCAGCAGAGAAATACACACAATACACACACACACACACACACACAGAGGCAGAGGAAAAGCTGGGCAGATGACAAAGCGGGTTCTTGGCAGAAACTAAAACGCCACATGGGCAAATAATTCACTTTCTGCTTTCGAGCAGCGCATCGAAAAGCGAAAATATTGTGACAACAGCAACAACAACAACAACAACTGCAACAACAACAACTGCAACAACAAGAACAACAATCTCTGCTCTGAGTGCTTGTTGGGATGCTGCACTTGTGTGAAGTGCATAACAACGTGGAAATATTGTAAAAGCAAACTACACGACAGACAACTTACAACAAGCGGCACGAACAGTCAGCGGGTTGCAGGGTCTTGTGGCAGAGACATGCCAAATGCCTCGGCTACAAAGCAAAATGCAATAAAGCTCAACGGAGGCATATAGCACATCAAACGTGGTGCATGCCACATAGCGGGCATTGGGGCATCTGCCAGAGCTTGCAACGTCTACGTCCTGCGAGATGGCCATGCAAAGCGTGCATATTGATTTTTAAAGTGCCGCGCCGCAAACCAAAGTTGACCAAGTGCCACATCTACCTCGAGAGACTTCAATTTAAAAGACCACAAAACAAAATATTACTCTCAACATTTAAAGAAAATGTTATTTGGCAAACATAAAAAGGAAACAAAACATTAAAAAAATGTTGTTGAGAAAACTTTAAAGGAAACAGACCCAGCCCCAATATTAAAAATATTTTATTAAGAAAAGTTGAAAGGCGACTTTATTTATAAATAATATATTCGACTTTTTATAAAGGAGTTTCGCAAGTGAAATTAAAATTTGTCTCTAGTCCGACTCGAATCAAGGCTCAAAATCAATTTCCTGCTTTTAGGTTCGTTTTTTGAAGCTGGTTTTCACATGCTTCGAACTTGGTTTTCTATAGAAATTCGAAGTTTTTATAAATCAGTTTTATTCATTTAATTTAATTTTGATTCAAATCTTCAACTAAATTAAAATCTACAAGAAGAGAATAGTTTGTAAAATTTATGAAAATGTTTATCTACAGCCAAAACAAACGTCTACAAAATGTATTTAGATAAATGCAATGTTTGGGACTCAAATTTTAAATATTTGCTAACTTTTAAGTTGCGGCTTATGGCAAAATATAAATGGGAATTCTTACGAAAATGTTTCATAAATCATAAATCATATAAAAATTAATTTGAATTCTTAAAAAATCTTTATAAATAATTATACCTAATATACAAATGCCTTTTAAATTATAAATCACAAAGCATTTGTAAGAATTCCAATTTATTCTATATATTTTAAGAAATTTTTGTACTGTCCACGCTTAAAGTTACAGGGTATTTGTAAGTCGGCATTTGGCCATGTTCACGTATTTGCAATGGCTGCTGTCGGTTGCAAAGGATGCCGCAAAGCAAGTGTGGCTTGTGGGGCAGCCTAGGGTTGCCAAGTGCGGCAATGGCGGCGACTGCAGTGCGCACTTTTACTCAAAGAACGAACCACAGTGCGTATACGTAATGCGAGTGTGCATTAAGTTAGACTTAATATTGCGTATACGCAATGTGCGTTGGGTGAGACTTGGGAGAGCAAAAAATAGATATACCAATTTAAATTAAAAATAACTAAAATAAAATCAATGAAAATTAAGTTAACTAAAGTTAAACAAATCAACTTTAGTTGTGCAAACATTTCTTAAGGCTAATTCATTTAGCTTGAAGCCATAAATAGATTCAAATAATGCCTCTTAAATGGCAAAACCTTATACTTTATTGAAACTATCGATCAAAGTGGCCCGTTGCACTCGCGCTCGATATTCAATAAATTCTGTGTCGGACTTCGAGTAAAATGGCCAATTACGTGCAATAACGAGCCCAGAACTATGCCAGTCCATGGAGATTGTGGGCCTGGCTGGCCGGGCGGGCTCCCAGTCAGGGGTTGCTTTCGACTGGAGCAGCTTGTTGGCCTGCCCTGCCACGCCCCGTCCTGCTCCGCCCTGCCGCATGAATGGCCATTTTTCCAATCAATTACGTGGCTTTGCGCGTACATGTCAATTAGGTGGGCGGGATGGGGCTGGGGCAGGGGTGGGAGCGGCGGCGGCGGGTTGTAAGTGACTTGTGTTGTGAGACAATTGGCAAACGTTAATCATATTAAATTTTTAGCTAGGTCAGCGCATTTAATTGCGCTTAAGTATTGGCATTCAATTTAATTTGCCATTGAATATTTTATTCTATAAATAAGTTAAGCTTTTCCTTTCCCAGGCTAATCGTTCTCGGCAGCTATTTTCGAGGCACTGACACGCCCACAACAAACGAAGCGACAGCGAGTGCAACTGCAACTGCAACTGCAACTGCAATTTTGGGCAGTCAACGTTGCCCCAATACGCCACCCACAACGCCCAGCAGCCCGTTGCGAGATCCACCCCAAAGTCCATCGGACGGACACACCTCTTCGCTGAGCTCGCATTCCGGTTCCAGTGACATCTTGTTGGGTGAGTACCAAAATGATTTGCTTTTCATATTATTATAATACTCAAGTCTAAGGAAAATACCCTTTCTTTTGAATGTCGCGAGTACTGTGTCACATTATAGATATTCCCAAAAGCTTGGTATAATTTACAAACTATCTGAAGCCTTGACAAATGGGGCTGATGGATGACATAATTTTTGCAGAAGTGTTCTGTAATACACCTAATTATTATCTCACTCCCTCTTACTTTTTCTTTTATTACTCTTTGTCTTCTCTGTCAACAGCTCTCACTCTCTCCCCCGCTCTTCTACTCTCTCATATGCAGTCCAACTAAGTCACATTTACATAAGTCCTCTCTAGCTGTCATACTTTAAAAGTATTTATATTTTGAAGCATTAGGTGAATTCATGAGAATTACATAGAAAGGCGATTTACAAAAAAATAATGGGAGAGAAACTGAGAGGCAGGCAGTGAAAGGTAGAGAGTGAGAGAGAGAGCGGGAGATAGAGAGAGGGAGAGAGATGGAGACAGAGACAGATATAGATATAGAGACAGAGAGAGAAAGAGAGTGTTGCTACAGCAAATCTTCATATCGAGTTACCTCGACGAGAGTTCTCTGACTTGATTTACTTTTGAAAAAAGCGTTAAAGGCTCGGCAACCAATACACCCTGCTTCTTAGCACGTTTTGTACAGGGCGTTCAAAACGTTTGTTACACTTTGCTTAAATATCTTCTGGGCTATTTTTTTTTACCGCGCTCCGGCTCTGTTATTTATAGCTGCCCGGTTTTTCTCGCGAAACAGATCATGACCCAGGAAAGCAACGACAACAACAACAACAACAACAGCGGCAGCACATAAAATCGCAACATTTTATTGAGGCTGCTGACATTCAGGCAAACATTGCACATGCCTCTGGCCGACACCCGGCCCCAGCCGGCGGCTGTTGCCACAGCGCCCACTGACATAGCTCGACCCAAAATGTCGTTTGTGTGTTGGGCTTTGTGTTTGAGTTCGGGTTTCGGTTGCGGGCTCGATGCCATTGCCAGAAAAGCAGCCGCTGCTGCAGTCGGTCGCTTTGGCTAACACACACACACACAGAGAGAAGTGTTAGCCAGAAATGCCGCAGGCAACAATCTGTGCCCCCAGGCTCATGTGGCAGCTGCTGTTGTTTCGTCGTTGTGCGGCATCGTGTGTGACATTTATATAGAGATTTCCATGCCACGGTAAATTCTGGCACAAACTGCGGGCGGTTGCTGCTGCCTTAGATTGTTATCCTCCGAGGATCTTTGGGGCACGTTCGTGTTGCACAGCTGCTGAGATAAGTGACTCTTAAATGGGTAATGTCTTCAGTTGCAGATATTAGCAACTGTTAAGTGAATAAAAAACAAATATCGAATTCGATTTGATAACTGTTGAGAAAGTTCTAACATTCCTTTCTAAGCGAATTGCCCAAAAGTATGCTATAAATTCGATTTCTTAGTTAAACAATAAAAGTTTATTTTTAGCCGAAATTTGAAGCTTATTTTAGACAAAGGCCCATAGAAACTTTTTACTTCAAGTCATGCAGACAAAAATAAAGCTACAATTAAAATTTTAAAATATAATAAATTATGAATTCAAAGAAATATTTCAATATGCAGTTCATTAAAAAAAAATAATAATAAAAAATGTATTGATTTCATGTTTAGAAAGAAAAATATACTCAACTTTAGGCACATTTTATTGCAAGATAATGAAAAAGAAATAATTTCGTTTATTTGCCAATTAAAACACTTTGTTAACTGTTAATTACTTTCACTGTCAACAGTTCTAATCAAACAGCTTTAATTCCGATCAAACATTAATGAGAGCCCACTCCCAACTTTAGAGGGTAATTCCTGTTAATTCAGCTGAAAACTCATTACGTCAAGTGATAATTTCGCCTGCTTTGGAACTTGTTTACAGCTTTCTAAGCTATCATATCAGCCCAGCCCCAAGCAGCAACAACAAGCGCTAACTAGCCGCCAGAGGAAGAGCAACAACAACAACAACAACAACAGCAACAAGAGCAAAAACAGAAGCTAGAAAAAAATGCGCAAAGTAAACAAGAATTCAAGAATCTAGCAGCAGGGGCATAATAATGAGCAAATAAATAAAACTAAACGCATTTGCGCCACTTTGTTGTTGCTGCCGCTGCCGCCGCTGCTGCTGCCCGTGACGTTGCTCAAGTCATTGAACTTAGAGACAAGCGAATAAAAACGCAAAAAAATGAGTAACAGCAGCGGCTGCGACGCGTTGATAAGTGAAATGCAATGGGCGCACGCCAGCAACTGGGCATGGTCATATTGGCATAGGCAATGGGCACAGCAATAACAACAACAACAACAACAGCAGCAACAGGCCACGTGGTAGCGGCAACGAGGGCAAGCAGCCAGCAAATAACTCTCACTCAAGGCACACACACACACACACACGCTTGCTCTCTTGCACGCTCTCGCTGACACGCACACACTCACAGCGATTACACAATCTTCGCCTGCAGCAGCAGCAGCAGCAGCTGCGCCAGCGAGCGGCATTTTCATTTTTCTCTTCCTGGTGCGTCGACGTCGACGTCAACGTCGCGTGTCTTATGGCGTCGTCACTCGCATGTGTGTGTGTGTGTTTGCGCAGATCAGGTTTTATCAGGCAAATGCAATCGAACATTTGTTGGGGGCGGCGGGCGGGCGTTCGCTTTGCTTCGGCTATGCGAACCATTACGTCGCCCGCCTTCTTCGCCTTCTTCGCCTCGTTGACTTTTCGCTTTCGATCCTCGATGTTTGCTGTTTCTTGTTATTTACAGTTTCTGCTGCTTTCGCTGCCGTTGGAAAAATAGCAAACCAGCCGCAGTTGCGGCCGCTGTCGCTGTCGCCGTCGCCGTCGACGTTTGCCGCACGCTGATCATTGACTTTCGTTGCTTCTCTTTTGTGCCAGGCATTCGTCATGGAAAATGTGTGAGGCGGTTGCGCCATGGCGACCGTTGCGAAATGTGGAAAATTGTGCGCATAGAGCACTTGGGTGATTTTTCAATCTTTTCCTTTGCCCTTTGCGGCAGCAGCGATTTGATGTGTGCGTGAAGGAGGCAGCTAGCAAAACTGAAGGGACAGCCAGATCGGGGAGTGCGATTGGAAAATATATGTAAATATTATACGATCCGATTGGCTTTGATGGTACCGACTATAATAGACAGACGTCCTGCTGTAGATCATTTAGATCATTTAAGAAATGTTTTTTAGTGTGTTTTAAATAATTTATATTATTATTTACTTATATTATTGCGAATATTTTAAGACCTGTTTTTCTTTCAAATCTTAAAATATCGTGTTAAATTAATTATATACAAGAATCTGGCTTTGCTCTAGTTAAACAAGTTTTTCTAATGAGCTTAATTTTATTATTAACATACATACATATGCATGCATGCACTTCCAGTATACATACGACATCCAAAAACCCACTCATTCCCAGCTGTTTCTTTCTCTCTCTCTCTCTCTGTCTTTGTAAAAGTTCTTTCCGCTATGTTGCGGGCGTCATGAATACCTCTTTTTTTTGCCAGCACAGCTCGAAATCTTTGGCACCAAAACTAGTTTGGCACTTTCTACTAGCAACAACAACAACAGCGACAACAACAACATGGAGTGCAACTTTTTACTTCCGCATTGTAGAACTCCCGCTCGTTAGCTGCTCTCTCGCTTGCTCCCGCTGCCTTGCACACACGCGACAGCGCTCAAGAGTCGCAAAAGGTTCTTTGACTCGGCTGCACTTCTGCTCTCTGCGCGCGCTCTCAGTGCAAACTTTGTAACGGTTCTCTTCGCTAGGCTCGTTGCCGGTCGTTGTGTGTGTGAAATTGATCTTGAGAGAAGTGTGTGCACTTGAAGTGAACGTCAACGTCAACGTGAGCGTCGACGTCGAACGTTGGCGTCGCTGCGGCAGCTGCTGCCCACGGGCAATAGAAATTGAAAATAGCAACCAGGAACCGAGTGGGACCCAGCAAATGGAAAAGTGCAACAACAACAACAACAACAACGGGCAGCGAGAGTGCCAATGCGTGTAGTTGTTGTTGTTGTTGTTGCTGCTTGCAGATTAGAAAGATAGAAGCAATAACAGCAACAGCACCCCGTTTGCCGCCTCCCACTCCTTCTCCTGCTTCTTCTGCTGGCTCCTCTGCTTCTGAGTCAGCCTCGTGCTCAAACGGCGCTACAAAAGTTTTTCCTACTCCACACTCACACACATATGCTATATTTTCCTACTCTTTCCACACACACACACACACATACAGACGCACGCGCCTTCTTCTTATTCTTGTTCTTTTCTTGCGCTCCGTCGTCGCCGTCGCCGCCGTCGCTGTCGTCGTCGTCGTCGTCGTTGTCGTAGGTTCTGCAGTTCTGCAGTTTGGTTTGAATTTCTGTTGCGCATTTGGAGCGCTGCGAAGTTGGCGCTTGGATCTCGTCGAGACGAGAGTTTTGTACGCGCGATCGCACATTTTCACAATTTCCATTTGGCATTTTCCCCAAACGCTGTTACGTCGCCGCCATCGCCATCGCGCCCCCGCTCCTTCTCCCCCCACCCCACGGGTTGTATTCGAACTTGTCTAATCCGGAATCTGTGGACACTTTGAACTTATCCAGTGCCAACGTCGGGATTAACGAACACGGAAGTGATTTGAAAAATTATGATGAAAATTGATAATCAAGCTTAGTTTGTGCTGAAGTGAAGTGTGCAAATTGTTTAGATTTAAGTATTTTCCTAATAGTTCTATAAATAAGTTAAGGTCGCGAGATATTTAAAAAGATTCTTTGGAAGTCAATAGATTTTAGAAGCTTTCTCCGATGATTGAAAAGCCGCAGAAACTTTTTAAATGCTTTGAAATTGGGTATTGAGTTGAGTAGGAAATTTCAGGTAGATAAAAGTTTAAGATTTTATTTAATTTTATTCTTCTTCTTTGCTAGGAGTTGATATTGTGGTGGGTTTATAGCATTTATAGAAGCTTACGATATTTTTTATAG